TTTATATACGTCTCAGATCAAACAATAATTATATGTATATCAGTAATAAACTTTAGGAAACACTAAGATACGTATCACTGGAGGATGCTGTTTCATACTGTCAATTATTGAAAGCTGGAAATGTTGATTACTGAAATTTGGCAAAATAATAGGAATATGTTATTGGTATTCGCTATCAGTCCTTCATGTTCCATGTTTATTCTTGTGTGTAGACGTTGTTGCGCAGTTTTTAAACGTTTCAAACTACAATAAAACAGCCATCCAACGTATCCAAGATTATTCGCATTTATCTGGCCAGTGTTAATTTCTTGTTGTTGATAAAAACACTATTTTCGAGTTTTTTATTTAGCTACCTTCTTTATGATATTATTATTAACGGTAATAGTAGAAGTGTGGTATGTGCTACTGATATCGACAGATATAAGTAGTACGTATCACCAGTCGAAAGCGAAATGCCTGGATGTAGGAGGTTAAGAAGATCGAAAGAGAGAAAACGAGAACAGAGAGTGAGTGGTGTGGAAACGAAGGAACAATGAAGTTTGAGACGAATGACTGACATTTTGCAAATGGAATATTTATTGTATGGTTCTCACTAAGGTATACCGTAATTTTGTATTCACATACATTCGGTTGTCCACGACAGGGTTGAATGGAGAATGCTGGTGGGTGGGCTATCCTCCTCCACGAGTGGTAACAGGCGCAAGTAAGTAAGTAAGTCCGATTTCCGATGCAATGTGTTCCTTGGTCTTTATCTTTTCCGTTTTCCCTCAGAATTCTAAGTTAGCTCTTGCTTCGTGATGAAATTTGATGACTTCCATAATGTTTGTCCTATCCACTACCATTGTCTTTTTTTAATTTCCTCCTCAGCTGGAAGCTGATTTGTTTTTTTCCACAGAAGGCTGTTGCTGATGATATCTTATGTAGATAATTGGTAATAATTACTTGTACATTTGTGATAATGCTCGTAGTAGTTCCTCATACAAATAATATACCATATTATATTTCAAGGCTTCTTAACTCAGCTGGTAATAAATAAACGATCAAATAGGACTGATATATATATATATATATATATATATATATATATATATATATATATATTGAGAAAAAGTATACTAGTAGAGATAGATAGTGGCTAGCAACGGAGTCCAGGATGCGATTTTCGTTCTATTTGGGACTCGTCAGTTGAATGTACTTGTATTCCAGATTTGGTGTTGTAGACAGAAAAGAGAGTAAAATGGTGGTGTCATAGTTACTAATTCAAAAAAATAAAGAGAAATTAGATTATATAGAATTAATGAAAGTAATAAACGGTCGCATATTAACTACTCAACATAATTATAGATGAAGTCGCATTTTGCAAAAGATAGAAAATAAAAAAAGTTATTTGATTGACATCATTCATCATAGTTTGACCGCTAATCGTTGATCATACAGCGAAGATGATGAGAGCGTCCTTTTTATCCGATGTAGCATTTTTGACAATTGTAACAGTTCACTTTATAGACGATGTTCAGTTTTTCCTCTTTTGTTATTTCATTCTTTGATTTGCATGGGGTTGATAGAAGTGGCTTTGCTGTTTTGTGTGCGACAACTGTTTTAGACGGCTTTAATAACCTTGCAATTTCTGATATCTTTTATATCTTCCCTAGTTCCGAGTTTTTTTAAGACTTTGATCTTGTGAAGTCAGTTGGATGTTTTCTTTCTTTCGTTGAGTTGGCGGTACAATGGCTTGTCTTATTTCTTTTTTGAGTTTTATGTTCATCAGAGATTGTTTTGCCCCGTCGATCACTCACTTGATTGTATTTTTTCTGTAGGTGGTTTTGAAACCTTCATCAGTTTTTCCTTGAGGAAGTTCCTTCTTTGTCCTCTGTGTCGTCTGCTTGATACCTCGAATAGTGCTATCAGAATTGTCAAACATTCTCATGTAAGTATCTTCTTCAGCTTCCTCTTTTGGTCATCCATGATCATGATACGCCTAATGATAACTGATGAACACTACAGGATCCACAAACATCAATAAATAAACTCAACAGGAAATAAGGCAAACCTCATAGTACCACCAACTAGACAGAAGAGTCATATATAAAGAAATTCGAACACTTCACATCCACCTGACGTTTGTACTGATAATGTTGTTCAGAGGAATAAAGATAGCTCCACGATCAAACCATCCAACTCAGAAAACAAATCTACATCTAAAACTTGTAACTTTGTGTATTTAGTGAACGTTTGTTGTTTATTTACGTCCAGCAACAATGAAATCATATATTGGTGGGTCACATTGGGCCACATCGATGTGAATTTATTAGTTTCCTTGCTCTTGTGGAGTATATTACATTGACCATATATAGCGAGAACTTTTCGAAATCACCTATATATATTTAAGGGGTGTAAATTAATAACTTATGCATTGGTGAAGCGTTAGCAATCCACTATTTCAAAACTGAACTCTGTGTGCGAAGGCAACACATACAATCAATCATTCTTTCATAGCTCTAGCACATAATTTTCATAAACGCTAACTTGATCATCAGGTGGATAATTATCTTTTACATACTTTTTTCATCTCATCCCATCTCTTCAATTCTCGATTATTAAGTAACTCTTCTTGTCATATGATATGATGCAATTGCCTTACTATTTCTCAATAGATTGTTCTATTTGTAAATTAACTATAAATACAATTGTGCAATTGAGTAAATATCATATAATTTAATGTAATGTTAGTAGAGCATACGTTCGGAAATAGATTGGACCCTGATTCTTAGCTATTGTTCATTCACTGAGTGTAAAATTCTATGCACATATAATAATAATAATAACTGAACATCGTATAATTTCTCTACTGAGATTTGTAAAACTCTGAGGATTCGTTTTTTCATTCTTGTTAGACAAATTTATTATTTATTAGTTGAATTCATAAGTCAACTAGAGCTGAAGCACAATGGAAGACCCGTAAGCACTGGACGTGACTCCTCAGCAGTGAGCATTCATGACCCCGGTGGTGGAATCCGAACCCAGGACGTATCAGTCTCACGTGCAAACGCTTAACCTCTACACCACTGACCCATTATCCAACGGTGTTGTTTTCTAACTTTAATCAATCTACGAAATTGAGAAACCGTCTACCATTGTATCCAGTGCGTTGCTATCTCACAACAGATCCGGTTGAACTCTACTGATCATGGCTTCTCACTAGAACTCCAGGGAATACCTCCCGAAGCCAGTTCCTAGTGAACATATGATGATTATTATCAGAAGGGGTTTTTGTGGAGATTGTTATAACTTACTATTACTATTAGACAACAATATACACTTATATTGAAAGTAAACAGTACGTTCAGATCATATGACCAGTTATTTGCAAGTTCACAATGTCAGTATTCATTTAATTATTCTACACAATATAAAGACATTTTTGACTAATTGATTTATTGACACCGAAACGTATTTAAATCAGAGAAAGTAAGGGATTTTTTAGAAAATCAACATTAAATGGATATCTATAATTAACTGAAGCCAAACCTGTGACCCAGCATAGCTCGCTTAAATCATGAAATAATATTAACTTGGAATCAATTTAATTTTATTGTAATAACAAAGGAATGTTAGACAAGACTATAATTTATGGACGAGCCAATCAGAAACGTCTGATGAATTTCAAGGTCACAGCACCAATTTCAGTACCTGATGCCCATGTCACTGGAACTTCGGCTGTTCAGAGGCATAAGTACCATAGGGATATGTGCGTAATAAAAATGATAAACTTACACAACTGGAGTACATACAAACAATATTGAAGCTATGTGGTAGAGGCTGAGAGAGTTTTCTTGACCTTATCATGGCTCCAGAGGCCAAGTATTATGAAGCCTTATGGATGAGTTCCTAGGCCTCATGTATTACGATTTTAAAACCTTGGAACCTCTTTCTAACCTTGACAAGTTTTTGGACCATGTAAAAGAAGTGTAGCCACTCTAATTCTTTAGCTTTTTATACTGTATTTTTACTCTATACTGTCTTTTGATTGGCTAATATTCCTCAAGGTCACTTAAGATACGTTCAAACGTCATCCATAAATTATAGTCTCGCTGAATGTTTAAGTCAATTATTATGAGAACATATGCGTTAACCTTAAGCCTGGTTTTAAGTAATAATATAAGATTGTCACTGCCTACTACCGGTGAGTTCAGCTCACGACAAAGTACACATCTAGTACTCCTTGGGCATTAATAGTCATATGACCGATATAACTTCATTATGAAAACCGAACACAAACATTTCGAATATTGGTAGAGTTTCATAATCTAACTGATTGAAATGAATTTGCAATAAAGATAAAAGGATCATACTAACTGAAGCTAACTCCAAACCTTCATAAACCTTTTGTGCCAATAAAAAGATCACTTATCTGATTCTTAAGACTGATATCATGTAATGTAGAATATTTTCGGTCAATGTACACATGTGATAAACACTGATCAAACTGTACTCTTAAAATGGTGAATTTTCAGATATTTTTCAAATTGCACAGTTTCACGATAAAAGATGTTTGAATATTATACTAATATAATTAAAGTAATCACTATCTACAAGATTCATTCTACTGTTTTAACTAAATAACTGATTCAAATGCGGAACTTTTAAAACAGAAGATGAAATTTGTCTAAAAATTGATGATCATTATGCAAAACAAATGTTTAATAGAGAAAAAGTTGTTGATTACATTACAGTTCATAAAAAAAGATAGTACATAATCTAAACTATTGAGTATTTTATAAGTAGTACAGCATAATATACAAAAAACTGGAAAAATTAAGAAAAATTAAGTTTGTATGTTAAGAAATGCAAATCAGATTTAAAATCTTTAATTTCATTTTTAACTGCTTGAAAAGATTAGTTTCGTACAACAAAAGTTTGATTGTTTTTTTTATTATTTAGTACAATCACTGTATAGGAAAATATCAATTGTTTGGTCATATATTAAGACCAACTGTTAATTACATAATACTACACCTCTTTGCACATCTTCGTTGACGTTTCTTCTCCGCTCTAATGATACGTACTAAAAAGTTTAGAAAATATAATATAATATGATACATTAAAAGGAAAACAGTATTTCGAGATCTTTGTCAAATAAAGGTAATAAAAACTAATTATACTGCTGAGGAGTCCCACAGTTGGGCTAAACGGCCGTCCAGTGCTTCCAGGTTTTCCTTGGTGGTCTAGCTTCAGTTGACTAATGCTTTCAACTACGAAAATATTAAATCTCCACAAAAAAGCTATTCTGATTATCTTTATTTAATCACTAAAAATATATCATTTCTTAAAGTTTTTTGCCAACGAAAACTTATCACTTCGTGGCAAATTTTCCTAAATGGAGTTAGAGTTAGACGTTAAAGGAATAATGCTAAAAAGATGCCTTGTTAATAATATTAGGTAACTCAATATTACGACGAAACGGTCATCCAGTGCTTTCAGGTTTTCTATGGTGGTCTAGCTTTAAATGACTCATGAATTCCACTATTAAATTACTAAGATCTCCACAAAAACTCCCTTCTTAATAAAATCAATAAAAGTTGGAACTATTGACCGGTACCAAGTTCACTACTTTCTTCCTAATCTTTTAACCGATCATTATTATGCATTGAATTTTATCTCAACCAAGAAGTACATGTGACTAGCTGTGTCTTAATAGCCAGGATGGCGATAGGCATGACTACAACATATGGATGACGTATCATCAAGAAAATCAGTTATCACGAAATTACAGATACACTTCCCTGATAAGTCCTAAGTGTTGCATCTTGGTGAAGTTTAAATTATAGGTAACTTCTGAGAATTATTTATGGTTTAATATGATACGTATATTCTTATTATGTAATTGTTAAGTAATTAAACTATGCATATTCATATTCCTCTTATTATAAGCGTTGCTTTGATGTATCGACTGTTATTATACGATTTACTGTGATTAAATTGTGTTCAGTTTATGAATTACCGTCTCCCACATTCACAATCACTTTTTAGCTAAATCTTGTACAAATGTTATTTTCCATTTTATGGTGTGTTATAGTCTATTTGGTTTGTATATAAACTCAGTATGTTTGATATAAATGATTCATATAATAGAAGCTGTGATTGGTGTTCTGGACTCAATAGGCAGGGCTAGGAAGGAAGAAGGACCGTTAAGAACTGTAAACTTCTCATACAGGTTTATGAGTCATTGATTCGGTCGATAAATCACTGTTCTCTAATTGGTGGTGTCATTACGTTATGTATTGGTAGGGGCACAAGGTAACAAGTATAGTCGTCAGACCACCATTGAAATCATGGGAGCACTACGCAAACTACGTGACTATATTCCATTTTCTTCGTTGGGTAAGTATCTCACATTTGACCCAAATGAATTCTGCTAGTCACGAGAATTCCTTCTCAGAGCTAGTCACTAGTGACCACATGATAGTAATCGGTACAGGGTTGTGGCTAAAATTACATATTAACACGATCGTCTCACGAATCAGTGGTCCAGATAGTAAGCGTTCTCGAGCGGAACCAAGTGTTCTGGGTTCAAGCCCTGCCTGTTTGATCATGAATACGCTTCTGTGAGGAGCTCCATACTACAATGGAACGAACGTGTAGTACTCCCACGTTTCTAATGGTAGTCCAACATCGATCAATTCATGATTTCAATAAAATGAAACCTTTATAAAGAAGAATTTCTCTTGTACAACCTTTCTATTATTTCATGGTAAACATAACGAGAAGAGAATTTAAGACTTGTTGAGATGAATTACTTTGTTACTATCCAGGTATTCTTTTTAATGCAAATGCACACAAAAAAATTTGGTACTCTCTTTAGACAATCTAATATTCTAACCTTGATTACCATTACAACATTCATCTATAAACAGATTTATTAATCTCATATTTGTTTTTAAAACAATTATGTGAATAATAAACATATATGATATGTGATAAATTTTTTTAGACTGAGTTACCCTTCTTTTTAGTCAAAGACACAATTGTATAACACAATAGAATATTGAATAATTATAATCAGAAGTAGTTTTGTGAAGGTTACAGTATTTTCATATTTGCAAGCGTGAGTCAATTGAAGCTAGACCACCGAAGAAAACCTGGAAGCACTGGACAGCCGTTTTGTCCTATTGTAGAACACGGATGCACACTGTTGAGGAGTCCCACAATAGGACGAAACAGTCATCCAGGTTTTCTTCAGTGGTCTAGCTTCAATTGAATCATGCTTGCGAATATGAGAATAATTATAGATTATAATAACATTATTTTGAATTTCCGCTTGATTTTTGGCGGGTTTTTTTCAGAAAAAAATGATTAAAAAAAATGTAGACAGACGATATATACAAGAAAATGTAAATAAAATTTACACAGAACAAAAAAACACTGTTTTTCATTTAGTTACTATGTATATACATATTTACCTTCGTTTATCTTTGGTATAGTTTCATCTGACCTGCTTCGTTTAGAACTATCTATCGATGTAATATGATCTAATAAAAAAATTTGATCAAAACTACATCATATGATATCGATATGGAGACTATTTTTTTTTTAAAAAAAGGTTTATCACTAAGAAAATTCCAAAAAAATTGGAAATTTTTTGTTTCGCCTTGAACAATATTGATTAAAATGAATAGAATATTAAAATAATAAGACTAGACAGTTTAGGTTCCGAATTGATAAATTAACTTTTTTTTCATAGTTGAAATCATGAGTCAATTGAAGTTAGACCATCATGGAAAACCTGGTAGCACTGGACGACCGTTTCGTCGTATTATAGGACTCCTCAGTAGTGCGCATCCACGATATTGTCAAATGATTGGATAGTATTAATTGATGAAGAAAATTTACAGATAAGATGGATCCTTTCAAAGTTATTGAGTTTTGTCATCTAAAGGATTGATTTTTGGAGATTTCTAAATAACATCGTTCATCCTTATTTGATGTGAAAATGAGTTCAGTTATTCTATGAGTAATAATTTAATTTATTCAGGTAACCTAGTTTGTAATTCGATGATATAGTACGTCTCAATGTCGTCATTTGATTGTGTATTTAAACTGACTGTCCTGTTCTATTGAACAGTGATCATTTTATTGCTGGAAACGTACTATGATAGCGAATTACGAACAAAGTTATTTGGTTACTTATGCCTGCTTCCCCTCGTGGAGGAGCATAGGTCGCCCAACAGTATTCTCCATCTAACCCTATCCTGGGAAATATTTTCCAGTTCCTTCCAGTTAACATTCATCCTTTTCATATGTTATTCGATTTCCTGGCGTAATATGTTCTTTGACCTTCCTCTTTTCCTCTTCCTTTGAGGATTACAAATTAGGGCTTGCCTCGTGATGCAGTTTGGTGATTTTCTTAATGTATGTTCGATCCACTTCCAACGTCTTTTCCAAATTTCCTCTTCAGTTGTAAGCTGGTTTGTCCTCTCCCATGTTATCCGGCCACGTTACCTGAATAAACTAACTTATTACTCGTAGGATAACTGAACTCATTTCAATATCAGGTAATCGATGATGATATTATTCTGAATGATAAAAAAATCTCCACAAATTAACCATCCAGATGGTAGAACTCAATAAAACTCTGAAAGAATAAATACTATACATTTAGTCTCCGCGGTAATTCTGAACAAAGCCAAACAAATAATATTTTCAAATTGTCAATTATTATTAATTATCAGCTAAAAACAACTACAAATTTTCAAAAAATCAAATACCTAGAAGTCATGGTTAATGAACTTGTCTTGCAGGTTACAAATGTTGTATACTTCAAGTTTCCTTGAACAATGCTCTAATCCTAAGTTCATCTAATGCAATAAAAAATCAGTTAGCAATTATTATGAAGTCTTATAACAATTCAGATATCCAAACGAATTTATTATACACTCGTTAGGTAATAATCTTAAAAATTAGGTAATTCCAAATTTTAACAGCAAATATATATATATATATATATCTTCATCTTGAGTTCTTGAAGATTGAGGAATCTATGAGGAATTATTTAGAGAATTAGAATAATTCTTAGAACAATTACTCAACAACATAACTTATTTAGTTACGTAATACTAAGCGGTTATGAAGCTAGTTATTGATAGATTGGTGGTATTTTGAAGTTATTAACACTTAATTATTATGTATAGTCAAAATCATCAATCAATTGAAGCTAGAATACCATGGAAAACATGGAAGCAATGGACGACCGTTTCGTTCTATTGTGAGACTCCTCAGCAGTGCACATCTACGATCTCGCCTCGCGACATTTGAAACCAGGATCTACCAGTCTCGCACGTGAGCGCTTAACTACTGGAACACTGAGCCAGCATTCAACGGTTTTAATGTCTAACTTCAACCGATCCACAAAATTGAGCAACCATTCACCAATTTCTTCACTGAGCTGATACCTTCTAACAGACGTGGTTGAACTTCACTGGTTACTGCGCCTCACTACAACTCCAGGAAATACCTCATGCAGCCAGTAACTTAATTATTATGTTTGAAATCATATTTTATGCATTATTCATTCTCTTAAGACCTTTTTTTGTTATCTTATAGTGTATTCATTTGAACTAAATTATATCAAACTGTTGTATCAAATCATAGTTTATTTTTTTATAAATGTAAGTAAGCTCTTAGTAACATAGAAGATTGCGATATACAATGTTTATTCATTCTACCATGTTACTCTTATTGTTTTCCGTTTTTTTTTTATATATTGACTAACATAAAGAGTATTTTACAGATACGGAACCAAAATTCTTTTCTTTCTATAAAAGTTCCTGACTGTAAATACAGAAATAACTAAAAGTCAGTAAGTAATCGATAGTTGTTTTGCTTCAGTCAGATCTCCTCAGCAGTGAAATTCCATAATTCAATCAATGATCGAAATCCAGTCTACACTCCTTCAAAATCATTTATATTCATACTAACCACATGCTTATTAGTTGACCGGCGAAGCGTTCTAATAAAGAGTTGTGATTAATAGAGTTTATACAAGTCAGATTTGAAACATGAACCAAGGATACCACTGTAGGCTGGTCATATAATATCCTTAATTGAATGAAGTAAAACTATTAACCATTCAATACTAGTTCACTTACTTAATTGTTAAGAGCTCTCTACAGAATCTAAAGACTCTAAGGTTTACCCTTGATGAGGAAATAACAACTCATTATTGAGTAAGATACAAAAGCTAGTTAAGGCTTTTCAATGCATAATATATACTAACTGATCTCCAAAAACGTTTTATACTTTATATTTATGTTACATGCATCGTTTCAACATATATATTTCGTCAGAAAGTCGATGCTTTGACTAACTTAAACCATGATTTATTGATGAACCATCAAGTTGTACACTTTTTCAGTAATAAAGAAACACCGAATTTTATTGTTATATTCCCTTGTAGTATTTAATCAATATCAACATAGAAATAAGTAAAGAAAAAAATAGATCTGCTTATCAATTCAATTTAATGAATTAAAAACAATAATCAGAGACTTACTTGAACCATTGTGATCATTTCTATCTATCTCTCGTACAATAACTAGTTCATCTGAAAATATTCAATTAAAGATACCATGAATATAATGTTTATAATGGACAGAATATATATAAATTATGTAATAGGGCTATATATTTATAAACGATTGCCTAGGACAGAGTTGGATGGAAAATAATGGTGGGCGGCCTATGCTCCTCCACGAGGGGTAACAGGCGTAAGTATATATATATGAGATAAGCTAGCAATACCTACCAATTCCTCTTTGTGGATTAAACGTATAATCATCAGCATTCGTAGCAACCCCTTTACTGATAAACCATAGACTTGACATTATTAATATTATTTCATATGATTTTGAGTTTATCCTTTTTTATATAATGTGAATAAAAGTTACAAATTAACCTATTTATGAGCCAAATATATTTGTTTACAACTGGGTCAAGCAAACTAAATAAGAGTGAACTAATGAATCGATTCACTCAATGACATACATTCTGTAAGTCTACAAGTTGAATTAGGGGACCACTCATTATTTATCAAACTATTATGAAAGTATGACAAAATAGTAAATTACTTAATTTATTTTAGATAGACAAAATAAGAATTTTATTAGTTGAAATCATGAGTTAATTGAAGCTAGCCCACCATGGAAAACCTGAAAGCACTGGATGGCTGATTCATTCTATTGTGGGACTCCTCAGGAGTGTGAATCCACGATATTCGAACCCAGGACCTACCAGTCTCGCACCAGAGCACTTAACCACTAGACCACTGAGCAGGCAAAATAAGAATTAATTGAGAAACTATTACTTTTCAAATAATTTCTCACTATATTTTTTACACAAGTATATACATTTAACATTTGAATAATAAAAATGATGGAGTTTTGTTCACTGAACTGGATGGTTTGGTCGTGTAGCCTTCAATGATCTTCTGAACGACATCATCAGTAAAAACTTTGGTTAGAAGTAAATTGTTCGAATCTCTCCACATGTGGTTCACAACTTGTCTTGTACACCTCGGTGTTGATAGGTTCTCGTTCACCTTAAATCTGTTATTGTTTACTTATGTGTTTTGGTTGTATCTTCCATTGGTTTGATTTTTGTTTCTATGTTTGTGCATAACTTTCCTAATTGGTTGATAAATTGGATTGATTTCAATGTGTTTGTTTATTGCTGATTGACCCGAGTGCAAAGCTCTTAAAAATTTTCAGGTGTTTTTCGAATTGTCTCTATCCGAAATCTCCACATTTTTCCAGACGAATGTGTGCCCACAATTGTCCATGTGCATTGATATATAGGTAAAGAAATGTCATGGCGTTTGAATGCTAATTGATGTTCATGCCAGTGAAGATGAAGAGGGTGTCCGTTTTGTCCGATGTAGTGGTTTTCGCAGCTGGCAAAATTTATTTTGTAGATGATTTTTGGTTTGTCTTCTTTTGTCGTTTCATCCTTCGATTTGCATAAGATTGAACAGAGGAATTTTGTCGGTATGTCCGTAGGTTTTCAGCAGTGTCGTTGTCGTTTCTGATAGACCTTTACGAATGGTAGGGTGATCCTTTTGTTGATTTCTGCACTTGATATCGTCTCTGCTGATGTGTGTGGCTGGTATTTTTTGATGAAGTTGATTGGGTAGCCATTCTTTTGAAGGATGGTCTTCAAGTATTTTTCTTCATTTTTTCGTGCTGTAATTGTGTTGCAGTTTGTCCTCGCCCTCCTGAACAAGGTTTGTACGCAGTCGATTTTGTGAGCTCTTGGGTTGTTGATATTATAATTGAGAATTTGATCAGTGTGGGTCGGCTTCCTGTACACTTGAGTCTATAGTTTACCTGTGTCGTTTCTGGTGATTATTATATATAATAATGATAGTTTGTCGTTTGACTCCTGTTCCATGGTGAACTTCAAGTCATTAAAGATGTTGTTGATCAGCCTGTAGGTGTTTTCTAGCTCATCCTTTTTGAAGATGACGAATGTGTCGTCTACATAATGAATCCACATTTTAGGCTTGATCACTGGTAAGGTCGAGGTTTCTAGTCTCTGCATCACTGCTTCTGCGACAAGTCCCGATATTGGTGATCCCGTCGGTGTCCCTTGAATTTGTTTGTAGATTTTGTTGTTGTATTGGAAACATGTCATAATGCATAAATCTATGAGTTCTAGTAGACTTTGACTTTGAAGCTTCATGTACTTTGCGAGATTTGTGTCGTTGGTGAGAAGCAGGTATAGAGTTTCCGTAGCTAAGCTTGGTTCAGTTGATGTGAATAGCGATGTTACATCAAAGGATACCATCAGCTCGTCGTTGTTGATTTGAATGTCGTTAATCTCATCGCGTAATTTTAAGGGAGATTTGTTGGAGTAATTGAATGAATCCACTAAATGTTTAACTATTCTTGAAATTTCTCTCGATAAATTGTATGTTGAGGTTCCGGAGAGTGATCCAGTTGAACGTAGTAGGATATTTGGTTTGTGTATCTTCGGCCTGTGGTAGAATCAAAAGAGTGATGGTTCATTGGGTTTCATTCTCCTTGATCTTGCCTTCTTATTTCTCCTGATTTGACGAGCTTGTTTAAAGTCTTGGAAATTCGATTGTCTAACATTTTCACAGGATTTATGTTTATCAGTTTGTATATACTTTTATCCTCGAGTAGCTCCTCGGATTTCTTGATATATTCTTTGTCCATAATCACTCTGGTGCACACTTTGTCAGTTGAAACGATGACAATATCTTTTCTAGTTCTGAGTTTCTTCAAAGTATTTTGTTGTTGTGAAGTCAGTTGGTTGTTGCCCTCCATCCGTTGAGTTAGTGGCACTATAGTTGTTCATAATTCTTGTTGCGTTTCTTCACATATTCTGGAAGTTCTGAGTGATGACTCTAGTTCTGCGAAGAATTGCAGTTTTGAGGCGTTTCTTGTATTGTAGTCTAATCCCTTTCGGAGTAGGTGTTCTTCTATGTTTGTTAGTGGTTATTTTGATAGGTTGACCACGCAGATGTTTGTGTTTTCTTCTATGGTTGGTTTTGAGATCTTGATTATTTTCGTTGTTAGGATATTTTTACTTTGTTCTCTGCGTGATACTTGCATGATACTCTGATGGCTGTTGTTCAGATTCCAAGTGCACTGACGTGATTGTCCTTTGTAGCTTCGTCTCTTAGTCCTGTATGACGTGTTAATATTTGCGGATCCTGTAATGTACAACCGTTATCATCAGGTGTACCATTTTTATTCCACTTTGCTCAGCCATTCTCCATCCCTATAGGCATTTGATTGGAGCTTTGTATCTTACACTTGATGGCAAAACATTCTGACGAAGACACATTCGTAGAGAAAATATAGTTGTTCTCGAGTGGAGACCGGCTTTTTGGCGAAATTCTCCCATTTTCGAACAATGAGAAGCGTACTACGCTGATATGATTTTGAGATGGTGCAGAAGATTTGTAGCTCAGGAGGATCATCCAGTCTCGTGTGAGGACGCTCAAACTTTAGACCACTGAGCTGGTATCCTAGAATATTAATGTCTGACTTAAATCGATCCATATTAAAAATAAGTCAAGAAAATGATGTAAAACTAAACAAAATGCCTATTGAAGAAAAAAACATCTTTACAACGGTTAATAAATTGGATATTCAAGAGGATAGAATTCTGAGTAGGGCTACTCTTACGATATTTCTGTAGTATTGTTTATACTATGGATACGATATTGTCAAGTATCTGGAAAGTTTTCTCATTTTTAAATTCTAATGTACTTGGGTATTTTTTCGGTTAGATGATATATAAATCGAAAGAAATAAGAGGAGTAGATAGTTTGTATTTAATGAGATAACGCACTCTTGCATCTTAGAGTTGATGTTCACTCTGGGACTCGAACCCAGTACCCTCGCTTCAAACGCCATCGCGTTATCCACTCGGTCACTGAGTCCAGTTGTAGTCCTAACAAATCGATGGGAAGATTCAAACAAACAATACTAAGTTGAATTCATATACATGACAGTTATGAAAAATTCACTCAAGAAATACACCTTTATTGTTTTACGCAACACAGCGTAATTCCTTTACATTAGTTCAAGATAAAATGATAGGGAGCAGTATATGTTCACACTTATGCTAAAACATTAAAAAATGATTTAAATAAAGCCAGAACAAATACAGATGCAGAATAATATGAATTCATTATATTTCGTGGTTTATCATCAGATGCTTACAATCAAATATGTATTAGAGTTTTAGCATTGGGGTAATAAATAGGATGGAACAATTGACATTATTGAATGTAAAGGATTGGAATAACAAAAGGTCAGCAATGATAACCATATATATGTATATGTGAAAGGAAAGGTTAGAGGTTATTAGGTGTTAGAATCAAGGAAGCATAAAGAGTTGGTGGTGTAATAGTTGAGTGAAGTTCAAAGACAGATAAAACAAAGTGTGTGAGAATTTTAGAGGTAATGAAGGAGTCATGGAATTAAAAACAATTAGGGTAGGTTACGCAATAATTGAATAGAATTTGGAGAGTTCAATATAATTTAAGAAAGACAAGTGAGCGGAAATGTGTAAGGGAAAGGGTGGTTTAAGAATTGGATAATGGAAGAGGAATATAATACAAACTAAATATTAACCAAAATAAAACTATTAACCAAAATATTATTTAAAAAACTAAAACAAAAAAAGAAATGTGGATTACCAAGGTAGTAATAAGTTTACCACTGTCTCTTTTTGAATACATAGATCCGGTTTAAGTATTTTTATGGCGATCGCTTCAGCAAACCGGAGAGCAGCCGTACTTCTTTGTCTGCTAATAATTTTGAAAGCATGAGAATGGTGTGCCAGGTGTCAACTAAATGCCAAGCTATTGCACAGTTGAGAGCCCTGGTCCCTCGCAGCCTCAGTTTCTTTGGAACATGCTCAGTAATGAGAACATGTACTCTTCTCTCAGTTCTTCCAATGTATGTGCTTTAGCACGTACGTGTAAATTGGTAAATGCAGTTGGAGCTATTGAGAAAAGAGGACTTATACTTACGCTTCAAAAGAGATGAAATCGCTTTAACAATTATTCACTAAATTAATTCTGCTTTGAGAACGACCAACCCAGCAGCTTAATTGACAACGGTATTTCTCTTAAATTATGTGAACTCTCTCAATTCTATTCAATTATTACGTAACCTATCCTGTTTGATATTAATTCTATAAATCCTTCATTACGTCTAAAATTATCACACATTTTATCTTATCTGTCACAGAACTCCACTCAACCATCACACCACCAACTCTTTATGCTTCCTTGATTCTAACACCTAATAACCTCTGACCTTTCCTTTCACATATATATAGTTATCATTGCTGACATTTTGTTATTCCAATCCTTTACATTCAGTTATGTCAATTGTTCCATCCTATTTATTACCCCAATGCTAAAACTCTAATACATATTTGATTGTAAGCATCTGATGATAAACCACGAAATATAATGAATTCATATTATTCTGCATCTGTATTTGTTCTGGCTTTATTTAAATTCATAAAGGGAACTAATTACATGAAATTAAGAAGTAAGTCTATTTTGAGTTTCATATTTTACTTAATCATGAATATCAGAGAATCAAAATTAATAGATTTTATCCATTTTCTTATTTCATTCTTTTCAATCCACTTAAAAAGTTTAACTCAATATGAACAACCATTGATAATCACTGAAATAATTTGTGTTTATCTTTATTTACTACTCACAAAGATAAGTAGTTAATTAGCATTAAAACTAATTATAATGGTTAAATGTAAAATTCATCGCAGATTAAAAACGTGTTTTTTGTCACTAAGCAGTAATTGCTATAGAATTATTGAAAGTCAATAATACTGGATAGATATTTTGGATTAGATTCAATCTAATTATCAAAATTTGTTCTTCGGCCCTATAGCACCTCTCCGACAATTAAATTTGATTCCAATTAATTTTGTCGTGCTATTTTATTAACCTATTTAACAGACAGTATTATTCGAACCGTAACAAATGGTTTATTTCTTTAAATTATTATTATTGCTATCATGTCTGTATAAATATGTACGCTTGATCATATGTGACAGCCTACTAACATATCTCTATCAAGCTTAAATGATAATGGCTTAAACATCACTCGATGAATCATTCGCTTTCCCGTAAACGTATACATATACGACGCTCATATGATTTTGAGACATACATATGTTCGACTCTGTATTCGTTTGTTCGTACATATTAGCCTTTCTTCCCAAATTCGTTTGATATACTTGTAACTTTGTTATCTGTGCTATTCAATAATAAAGTATAGTCGGCACCCCATGTTACCATTGCAATTTATTTGATATAGGTAATCAAGGTGACTGATAAACGAATCCCGAGGAATTGTTTCGAAGTTAAGTCACTGAAGCCGTAATTCATGTCATACCATCTTTTATTATCGCTTATGTGAACCGAATATTAATAAGAGTGATTTATACCCTTATTCTAAGAACTTTCTTCTCAAATCTTATTTCCAGTGATATAAAACTTATACAAATGAAAAAATTACTAATATTACAATCAAATCTACCTTGATAGGTTCTTCGTGGACCATTCTGTTCATTATGTTTGCAAGAAGTAACTTTAGATTTAGCTGTAATAAATAATGGTAATAAATAAAACTAAGGAATATTTTTTTTAAATTATTAAATATTGAACATTGAACACTGAAAAATAATTTAATAATTTATGTACATTTTGAAATAACTATGAATTGTTTAATCAATCTTATTGATTTAATAGTCGATCTCATAAGTCAATTGAAGCTAGATCATTATGGAAAACCTAGAAGTATTGTATGGCTGTTTCGTCCTAGTATGAGACTCCTCGTTGATGCTTACTACTTGAGTAGTCCCACAATAGGACGAAACGATCGTCCAGTACTTTTAGGTTTTTGATGGTGATCTAAATTCAATTGACTTATCAATTCAACTTTTTAATTACTATATTATGAACAAAATCCCTCTCTGTTTATAATTTTTTATTCAATCCATCAGCAATTTTAGTTATGAAGACATTTCATTATGAATATATATTCTATAATAATGACATTCATTATTTTAATCAGAACAATTTAGGATTCCATTGAATTAAGATCTTTCATGAAAACTTTCAATCATAAAATTTTTTTGTTTTGTTAACATGGAACCATTAATTAAAAACAAAAAAATAATTTTCTCACAGTATTGGTAAAACTAAATTGAAACCAAAATTTTTTTCCTCAGAAAAGAATTCTCGTTTATCAAAATTAAAACTTGTTGATGAAAACATTTTAAATGAATACTTTACATTTTTATGTGCTTACTTGAAGGGGGGGACATGGGGGATTATGTGCTATGCAACTGAATTATGATAAAATTACTTTTTTATAGTCAAGATCATGAGTCAAATGAAGTTAGACCACCATGGAAAATCTGGAAGCACTGGACGGCCGTTTCGTCCTATTATGGGACTCCTCAGCAGTGCGCATCCACGAACACGCTCTCGCGAGATTCGAACCCAGGACCTACCAGTCTCGAGCCACAGCCCTTAACCGAGGTAGGCATCTTGCATGTTTGTATTTCATCTTAAAATATAAAAAGTGTTTAATTTTTGGGCTTCCTAATAACGTTTTTTTATTGTTGTGCTTTTTGGAATTGTATTCGGAGATCAATAATTAAGTTTTCTGTATGATTCATTATCTTCATTTAAACTTTTGTCAGATGGGGTTTTGTGCAGATTTCACTTTTTTCATAGTTTAAATCATGAGTCAATTGAAGCTAGACCACCATGGAAAACCTGGAAACACTGGACGGCCGTTTCGTCCTATTATGGGACTCCTCAGCAGTGCCCATCCACGAACCCGCTCTCGCGAGATTCGAACCCAGGACCTACCAGTCTCGAGCCAGAGCCCTTAACCGGTAGACCACTGAGCTGGCATCCAACGGTGTTAATGTCTAACCTCAACCAATCCACGAAATTGCGACTCATGATCTTAACTATAAAAAAATTTCTAAATCTCCACAAAAAACCCTCTTGTGATTATGATAAAATTAACCTATGCTATTTATCTTGAAGGATATTTGGATTCACCTTGAAAGTGTATTATGGTGCGGTCTACTTATATCCATATAAGTAGTATATAAGGTTGGTCAGACATAGAATGTATTTTGGCAGAAGACCGATGAGCAAAGAACTGAAACGAAGCGCAATCGTTTGGAAAATGCATATGCAATGGAATTAGAGAAGAAACAGTTAAGATTGAAACAATTGATTGTTATTTTGCAAATTAACTGTTTATTGTATGGTTATCGGAATTTAGTGAAATAGTCTGTAATCTTTGCTTAAATACATTCGATTGTCCTCAGTCATGTTCTGTTCACTACAGCATCTTTTTTCTTAGTCGATAAATGAAAAATCTTATGAAGAATCAGTAGATAAGAAGGGTATCAAATTTGATGTCTTTTTTTTCAAACTTTTTAACCGTAATTTTATTTTCATAAATCAAGGAATTCTTAATAGATGGACCTACATAAAGGATTAATTTCATTTTCACTCATTTCTATGGTAACAAAAATTTGATACGCTATTCTTGATACACTGTTCTTCGTTTATACAAGACATTTTTGTTATGCCCCTTATGCTCGATTAATTTTGTCACGTGATACGATCAACAATTAGAGACAAAAACTTAAACGACCAGACTAATGACTCTGAAATCTATACGGTCAGCCTAGAGTTCTTAATAGTCCACCGAGATAATAGCTTTTTTGCCTAATCTAAATGGTTTATTCCAGAACGCTAATATCAGCTCCCATGATATAAATCATATATTTCAAACATACTAGGTTTATATACAAACAAACCAGATCGCATCATACTATAAAGTAATGAATAACAATTATATAAGATCAAGTCAAAAAGTGACTGTGGTCGTGAGAGACTGTTAACCAAGGTTTCTTCAAACTTTTATAAGTTTTCCTGGGTATTTTAAACATAACTTGCCTAAAACATTGGATCAAATCTAGAAAAGATTTATTGATTGTTATTATATTCATGAGTTGGACAAACATCAAAAAAATCTTTATTTATTATCCATAGAATGAACACATTTCATTCTTAAAATACCATGTATTATTTATTACTGACACAAGTTCACTTACGAGTTGACTGTCCACTGATAGGTCGAGGTACATTTTCTAAAAACTGACCATTAACATTTCCAGGTGGCTCATAACGTCCTACTATAAAAACATGATGGCCATCAATTGAATGCTGAATGCCAAATCCTGCTTTAGATGTATTCTTCCAGATAAGCTGTGTAAAATGACCTGATATTAATGAGAAGAAGTAAAACAATCATTATGAACATTTCTTGAATAAAAGTTTAACGTATTCAGTTTATTATTCGTTTTATAGTTTGCTTAATACGGTTATAACAAGAAAAACAAAAGTAAATTGCAAACAGGCTAATCCAAAATTTAAATTAATTATTGTAATTTCTTTAAAATTTATAGTTAGCAACAGTTAGGTTAGGCATTCTACTATCTATTGGTGTTACATACTACTTATATCCTCAAACATTCGTAGCATACACTGGTTCATCAGTTTTCATGTTCGAGTTTACTATCAGGACCAACTTTCAAGTTATATATGAAAATTTCAAATCAAAATTTTAACTAATATAACAGAAGTATTCCTACAATCATTCAATTTCATATACGTTTGATAGAAACAAATTCAATGTATGACACTAAGAGTACAAATACAACTATGGCATGTACTATTGATGTTGACAGATATGAGTAGTATGTACCACCAATCAAATGTGAGATGCATAGAGGCAGAAGGTCAATAAGATTGAAGGAAACAGAACAAGAACATACAAAGATTGATGTAGAAACGAAGGAACAATCAAGTCTGAGACAATTGATTGACATTTTGCATATCAAGTATTTATTGTATGGTTCTCAGATTTTACTAGGTGATCCTGTACTGTTGTATTCAAATACAATTGACTGTCCTCCACATATGATCTCGTTCACTACACAACCAATTATAGAAAAAAATATGCTTATGAAATTTGATGGAAAGATATATTCCAGTTAATCAAACTAATTGAAAACAACGTATCCATGTGATAATATAGATAAGTTAGTTTACAGAATTGTTTTTCTCGTTTGAAACTTTATTCTAGAAATGTAACTTTTCAATTATGTAACAATCCTTTCGACATTTTATTACATTTATGATTGACCTTGAACAAGTCAATGATCATGTGAAATACACAAATCTCTTATGATAATATGACATTAGTAATCAATTATTAATGATCAGCTGATTTCATTGTCATTCCTTAATTCAACGTTTAACGTTGTCATTCCTTATAAGGCAAAAAGCTGTAAAACATCTTTGATTTTCTGATTTATTTAAGAAGTTAAATTCAAGTCAGTTACAAATAAGCGAAAACTCCGCCTGTAGCTCCTCCAGGGGCTACTGCCGGTCCCAAGCCCGGGTAAAGGAGCAGGGTTGGGCATGGGGTTAGCGACCCCATCACGTAGAAAATCAACTCGCTAAAAAAACGCTAACCAGAAAAAATCATTCAAACCATTCAAACTCTGCCCTGGGAGTAGAAGGAAAAATGACGTCTCATGATGAAAGCCGAGTTCCTTCGGAAGTCATGAGGCCGATGCACCTTCTTACAACCAGAGCAACAATTTTTATAGGTACATGGAATGTCCGGACAATGTGGGAGACCGGCAGAGTCTTCCAAATTTCTGCGGAAATGAGGAAATACAACCTGGAAGTGCTTGGAATCAGTGAAACACATTGGACGCAGGTTGGACAACAACGACTGTCTTCAGGGGAACTTCTGTTATACTCCGGTCATGAAGAAGAAAATGCCCCACATACACAAGGAGTGGCACTGATGCTGTCTAGAAAAGCACAAAATGCACTTATAGGATGGGAATCTCATGGACCGAGGATCATCAAAGCCTCCTTCAGAACGAAGAGAGAGGGCATTACAATGAACATCATCCAATGCTATGTGCCGACCAACGACTACGATGAAGACGCTAAAAACCAATTCTACGATAGGCTGCAGTCAATCTTCGAGAAGTGCCCAACCAAGGACCTGACCATTCTAATGGGAGATTTCAATGCCAAGTTTGGAAAGGACAACACTGGATACGAAGACGTCATGGGACAACATGGACTGGGAGGAAGGAACGAAAACGGTGAGAGATTTGCAAACCTATGTGCCTTCAATAAACTGGTCATAGGTGGCACCATATTCCCACACAAAAACATACACAAAGCCACTTGGATTTCACCGGATCACACTACACAAAATCAAATCGACCATGTCTGCATCAACAAAAAGTTCAGGAGGACGATGGAGGATGTGAGAACCAGAAGAGGAGCTGATATAGCATCCGATCACCATTTGCTGGTCGCCAAGATGAAACTAAAACTCAAGAAGCACTGGACAATGGCGCGTACAACATCACAAAAGTTTAACACGGCCTTTCTTCGAGATGCTGACAAACTCAACGAATTTAACATAGCCCTCAGCAACAGGTTCGAGGCCTTTCATGACCTACTCAATGGAGAGGGAACCACCATAGAGAGCAGCTGGAAAGGTATCAAGGAGGCAATCGTTTCAACATGTCAGGAGGTTCTGGGCCAAAAGAAGCACCATCACAAGGAATGGATCACTGTTGGTACACTGGATAAAATTGAAGAAAGAAGGAACAAGAAGGTAGCAATCAATATCAGCCGAACAAGAGCAGATAAAGCCAAGGCACAAGCCGAATACACAGAGGCAAACAAGCAAGTGAAGAGGAGCATCAGGACCGACAAACGTAAATATGTGGAAGATTTAGCGATGACAGCGGAAAAGGCTGCAAGAGAGGGAAACATGAGACAACTGTATGATACAACAAAGAAACTTGCTGGAAATTACCGTCAACCAGAAAGACCAGTGAAAAACAAGGAAGGCAAAGTAATCAACGATATTGAAGAACAACGAAACAGGTGGGTAGAACACTTCAAGGAACTCTTGAATCGACCAGCTCCACTGAACCCACCCAACATCGAAGCAGCACCCACAGACCTCCCAATCGATATTGGCCCACCAAAAATTGAAGAGATCAGCATGGCCATTAGACAAATCAAGAGTGGCAAAGCAGCGGGACCAGACAACATCCCGGCAGAGGCACTGAAAGCAAATGTAGCAGCAACTGCCAAGATACTCCACATCCTCTTCGGTAAGATTTGGGACGAAGAACATGTACCAACAGACTGGAAAGAAGGACTTCTCATCAAGATACCAAAGAAAGGCGATCTGAGCAAGTGCGACAACTACAGGGGCATCACTCTTCTCTCAATACCAGGAAAAGTCTTCAACAGAGTATTGTTAAACAGGATGAAGGATTCCGTGGACGCTCAACTTCGAGATCAACAAGCTGGATTTCGTAAGGATAGATCGTGCACAGATCAAATCGCAACTCTACGTATCATTGTGGAACAATCAATCGAATGGAATTCATCACTGTACATCAACTTCATCGACTACGAGAAGGCATTTGATAGCGTGGACAGGACGACACTATGGAAGCTTCTTCGACACTACGGCGTGCCTGAGAAGATAGTCAACATCATACGGAACTCCTATGATGGACTAAACTGCCAAATCGTCCACGGAGGACAACTCACCGACTCGTTCGAGGTAAAGACCGGTGTTAGTCAAGGTTGCCTACTCTCACCCTTTCTCTTTCTCCTGGTCATCGACTGGATTATGAAGACGTCAACATCTGGAGGAATGCACGGGATACAGTGGACAGGCAGGATGCAGCTTGACGATTTAGACTTCGCGGATGATCTGTCTCTTCTATCACAAACGCAACAACAAATGCAGGAGAAAACGACCAGTGTAGCAGCAGCCTCAGCAGCAGTAGGTCTCAATATAAACAAAGGGAAAAGCAAGACTCTCCGATACAATACAATATGCACCAATCCAATTACACTTGACGGAGAAGCTTTGGAGGATGTGGAAATCTTTACATATCTGAGCAGCATCATTGATGAACACGGTGGATCAGATGCAGATGTGAGGGCGCGGATCGGCAAAGCAAGAGCAGCATACTTACAACTGAAAAACATCTGGAACTCAAAACAATTGTCAACCAACACCAAGGTTAGAATTTTCAATACAAATGTCAAGACAGTTCTACTGTATGGAGCGGAGACGTGCAGAACTACGAAAGCCATTATAAAGAAGATACAAGTGTTTATTAACAGCTGTCTACGCAAGATACTTCGGATCAGATGGCCAGACTCTATCAGCAACAAGTTACTGTGGGAGAGAACAAACCAGATTCCAGCGGAGGAAGAAATCAGGAAGAAGCGCTGGAAGTGGATTGGGCACACTTTGAGGAAATCACCCAATTGTGTCACAAGACAAGCCCTCACATGGAATCCTGAAGGTCGAAGGAGAAGAGGAAGACCAAAGAACACATTACGCCGAGAAATAGAGACAGACATGAGAAGAATGAACAAGAACTGGAAAGAACTAGAAAAGAAGGCCCAGGGCAGAGTGGGTTGGAGAAAGCTGGTCGGCGGCCTATGCTCCATTGGGAGTAACAAGCGAAAGTAAGTAAGTAAGTACAAATAAGCGAAGAATTAACTATTGTTAAACCTTATAATTTGCATCACTAGTTGGTTTCAACTAGACAACTGAGAATTACTGAACAGATATTTCGTTCTAGTATGAGATCTTTCTGTATGGAATATCCACTTCCTCACCGGGAATCGAACTTTGGATATTTAGATCTAAAAGTCAGAAGCTAACAAATGAACATCAGATCGTCATTCAATCGTTTTAATGTCTACGTTCAATCAATTAGTGATATTGTCCAACGATCATTTACTCCTTTCTACTGCATCTCACTCATAATAGTTGAACTTTACTGGTCAAGATTTGTCATAAGAACCCTGAAAATGTTCTCGTCATGCCAATCATTATTAAATCACTACTTGTTGGCTGGCTAATTAGGGAATTTTGAAAACTTTTGACAATTTTTAATCAATGTGCTTACGTTTATTGGTCGACCCAATAATTTTCGACGTATATTTCTTAGATAATCAAAATCTGTTGGCAACTCTTAAAACAGTTTCTTGTCTTTTTGGTGGAGTTTCGCTTTCTGAGCAGGATCATTTAATCATGTTGTTTTTATGGTTTTTATAGATAAAATCATAAACATGAATTCCCAGTTGCTGCGATTCCTCCGAATTTCTTCACAGATGACTGACAGCTAGTCCCGCTGATCGTAACCCGTCATTTATGTGTGGACAGACTTAAATAGATCTCTCCTATCTGGATTTGAGTCAACGTTTAACCTTTAGAACGTTGAACTGGCATCTAATGGTTTCAGTTTACAGTATTGCTTGAGAATCTCTCATTACCCTTTGTTGATAAATGGATCACATCCGACATGGGTAAACTCCCCCACTAGAACTTCTGCAATAACCCATTGACACTAGTTATTAGTGAGCATTTGAACATTGTTAGTAGTATGGAGGTTTTGCAGAGATCCTTAAATTTTCAGGGTTTACACTACGGACTGATGTTAGTTTGGTCATCACTGGTAAACATAAAACACTGTTTGTCATACATGATTATTCTTACCTGACTGACTTTGAAACTGTTTATTAAAATTGTGATAATGAATCTCATCGTACCAGTTTTGTGTCGCTCTAGCCCCTATAAAGCGAAACAAAATTTACCTTTAAAATTGCAGATTAGTTAGGTATGAATGTGTCAGGGAAACATTAGTCCTATTTCTATGATGCATAAGAAAGTTAACAAAATGAAAACGATGACAACCAATCAGTTATCAGCCAATGCTATTATAGAAATGCGAATTAGAAAAATGTCATCGACATAATTCTTTGAAGAAAGAATGACCATGTACAAACAAACAAAAATTAAATAATCGGATTTTTTCTTAACAGTGTAGATGTTACTTTAGAAAGATTCTAATCATTCTATTGCAAACAATTATGTCATACTCTAGTCATCATTCATTCCCATAAAGTTTATCTGATTGAAAATTACTATGCTTCTCAAAAGAATAAAGCCACTTTTGGGCCTTCGAATGATAAAATGACGAAAAATTATCATGTTTACTGTTTCAGTCAATTTCATAATGTAACATAACCATTTGACGTAATAGAAAAAAAACGAATTGTTGATGTTATATCTGAGAACCGGAGAGTAGTTGTACGTCTTTTACAAGTCCGATTATTGGTCAGTTCACCCATAATACCAATGGGATGGATAACCTTCGACTTACAAATTGAAATATCAATCAATGAACAATAAAATATTCCTAATGCTTATTGACCTTCAAGCTGTTTCTAACTTGGTGTCCTATCAGAGTTCAGTGATAGAGTGATTGTTTTCCGATCAATCATGACTCAAAACGTATGCAATAATAAATCTAAAATTTCTGACCCCACAAAAGCACAAATTACTATGTGTACTCTACTTGATCAGAAGTAATACAAACCATGGTATTAGAGTTACAGAGATTAAAAGCAACAGGTAAATAATAAAATCACTTTTAAATCTCGTACGTATATAGGATGACTGAAACAAAACATTTTTAATCAACCTCTAGTACATTGAACAACCCGTAAATTGATGTGAAATAAAACGAAAGTTTAAATCATGAGTCAATTGAAGTTAGAACACCATGGAAAACCTGGAAGCACTAGATGGCCGTTTCGTCCTATTATAGGACGAGACTGGTAGGTTCTGGGTTCGAATCTTACGAGGCGGGTTCGTGGATGTGCACTGCTGAGGAGTCCCATAATAGGATGAAACGGTCATCCAGTGATTCCAGGTTTCCCACGGTGGGCTAGCTTCAATTGACTCATGATTTAAACTATGAAAAAAGTGAAATCTGCACAAAACCCCATCTGACAAAAGTTTAAATGAAGATAATGAGTCATACAGAAAACTTAATTATTGATCTCCGAATACAATTCCAAAAAAAAAACAATAAAAAAAACGTTATTAGGAAGCCAAAAAATTAAACACTTTTTATATTTTAAGATGAAATACAAACATTTAAGATGCCTACCTCGACGTTTGTCTAGGATACTAATTTTATTTGAGATCGGCATAAGTTAGTTTTTATCAAATCATTATATTAAAATTAAGTCAATAATTACTAATTGTGTAAACTTTCTAATCGTCAACAATCACGTATTTTAAGGCTCAAATTAATAAGATATGGACAACACTAACACATTATCTTTACTCTTTTGATGAACATAACTGATTTTACCTAATAATAGTTAACTTTTGATTTTCCAACGCATTTCTGTGGCATATTAACACCATTTGACTGGAATATTTCAACGTTATGCATTTGAAGTAATAAAAACAATACGTCTTACAGATTAATAACTCAACTACTAAGGCAATGGTAAAACATAAGTTTCCAAGAAATATAAATCACTTAAAATACAAATGTCAGTATAAGGTTCTGAAAATTATTTGGATTTCATTGAAACCATGAATCGATCCAAGTTAGACAGCCTTTAAAAACACTAGATGGCTGTTTCATCATAGTAAGGAACTACTAAACAAGGCTAACAATGGTCTAAATGTTAGGTTGTTTTCGTGCAAAACCATAGGTCCTGTTTTCTATTTTCAGTTGCAAGGTCATAGATGGGCACTGTTAAGAAGTTCCATACTAGAATGAAACAGTAATCATATAATTCAAGGTTTACAATGATTGTCCAACTTCTATTGACTTGTAAGTTCGACACCATATAAATATCCTCAGAAATCAATAGTTTAAATAATTCAAACTAAGTATTTTTCGAGCATCATTTCACAAAACAACATGAACAACTCATTTTGTATTGTGACCTTTTTTTAAATTTAGCCAATATTTCGACATAATACATTGCATTTCACTTCGTATTGTTTGTTTGATACTTCCCATTGATGCTTAGGACTGCAACTGATCAGTCTCTTATTGACATATGTGATTACTGTACGCATTGCCTCGATAAAGCCTTAATTCACAAACATTATAAGCAAAGATGAGTAGTGTCTAGCAGTGGAATCCAGGACTTGCGTTACGCACAGTATGCACATATGCCAATAAGAGACTGACCAGTTGCAGTCCTAAGCATCATTGGAAATATTCGAACAAACAATACTAAGTCAATTTAAACTTCACCCCATCGAACAAGCAAGTGGCTATCAGGAATCAGTAGGTGAGTAGATAACGCGATAGCTTTTGAAGCGAAAGATACTGGGTTCGAGTTCCCAGAGTGAACATCAACTCTGAGATTCAGGCACATCCAGCTGACGAGTCCCAAATAGGACGAAACGCGCGTCAAACTGGATTTTACTGCCAGCCTCTATCCATCTTTGCTTATAAACACTGTATTTGTTTGAGTAATAATTCAATTGAGATTCAGTAGATAAATTCAACTGAACATTATAACTAACCGGTCATTTCCGCTTTTCCAGTAGATTGTGCTGATGCCAAATTTTCTCCATATTCATCACAGATACTATGTTTCATAATTTTCAAGCGTGCAAGATTTTCAGCCCAAGCTTGTGCTTCTCTAGCAAGTCTTCGATCATATTTTAATGGAGGACATCCGTGCAATGCACGTAATCTGAATGTATACATGATAAACAACACAGCATTTATTATTATTATTATCACGTAAATAAATTGCTTATGAATAAAAGAGCTGATAAAAATACTTTCTACAATGCATGTTATTTGAAATTCCTAGAGATTATATGTTTGTTGATAAACAGTCGTTTGTTGGTTTCATAGGACTGAATTTGGATACATTAACTTTTTGTTCCACATAGTAGTTGTTTGTTAAAGCAATTCAGTGAAGAGAAAAATAGAATCTTGCTCTAATTTAATCGGAAAAGAGACCTGTATCTATGAACCGACTTTTAAATATCGAGTTGTAATAATGTCTATAATTTTTGTGCAGCAATTTGGAAGACTCTTCTGATCTCCCATATTGTCCGGACATTCCATGTACCTATAAAAATTGTCGCTCTGGTTGTTAGAAGGTGCATCGGCCTCATGACTTCTGTTATGCTTGTGACCGAGTGGATGCCTTGCTTATGTGTGACGCGATAAGACCGCCAAACAGGGAGCAGCGGATTATCGGTTGGAGCAGTGACACGAAACCCGTACGAGCAGACTAGAGTGCTAACCGGTCCTGCGATCTGCCTAGCCCAGCCAGTTAAGTCCAAATCACCAATAACAGCCTCAGTGGTATGAATCATTATTTACAAACATACTGGGTTTTTATACAACCAAAGTAATCAATAACTGAATATAACTCAACAATCGTATGATAATAAATCAAAGATCAAAATAAAGCTCATGATAAGAGAAACACGAATATGAATAGTTTAGTTACGTAACAATTGTACAATAGGAAATAACATGCGAATTATGTGAAGAGTCTAAAAACATACTACTTTACATTCGAGATAATTTTTGGGATATTCCTGTGAATATCCTAACAACTTCCGAAGGAACTCGGCTTTCGTAATGAGATGTCATAATTATTCCTTCAACTCCCAGGGCAGAGTTTAAATGGTTTGAATATTTTTTTCTAATTAGCGCTTTCTAGCGAGTTGGTTTTCTACGGGATTGGGTCGCTAACCCCATTCCCAGTCCTCCTCCTTTACCCGGGATTGGGACCGACAGTAGCCCAACAATTCTTGTTATTCGACAAAAACTGAACATTGAGAGACCATACATTGCAAATTCACGGACACTTAAGCTATTTGTTAACTAGTCAATTTGTTCCTCAGACAACAACACATGAATTTTCTCAACAACATTCTCATCAATAAAGACTCGAAATCAATAAAACTCTTCAACTTTGAAGGTTTAGTTTATTCCATTTGACAGAATCCTACAAGAAAGCGAATTCATTCGATATGATACATACACTTTCATATACAAAAAAAACACCTATTATTAACTATTTTGTAAGAATTTTTCACAGAATCATATGAAAGTGAATTCTATCATGTTACATTCTAAAAAATCGATGAAAGGTTCTCAATAATAGAGAAAGAGAGCAAACAATCTAAAACTGTGGAGCATTTTGATTCATTTCTATACTTATGTTATCATATTACATTGTGCTCAGTAAAATACTATTATGAAAAATAAATACTACTTATATGAAATAATTAATCTACTGTTATCCATAGTAACACAATTAAATTATAACTAACTTAAAAATTTACTATAGCCAATTAGTTTCGGAATCTTGTATTTCATGATTTTAGGTTGTTTTCTTGTTTTTTTAATATCAGTTTATAATTTAGAAAAACTGTAGTCTGATATTTAATAAGCTTGATATATAGGTAATCCTGACAATACAGACAAAAGACACTAAATATTTAAAGTAGAAATACAGGGAAATGCTTCTCTTTATATTATTCCGTCAACTTTTGAACTGTAATTATAATAGTTGAGTTCATGAGTCTATAGAAGCTAGACCACAATGGAAAACCTGGTAGCAATGGATGGCCATTTCGTTCTAATATGCGTCCTCTCAGCAATGCTCATCCATGATCCCGCATCGCGATATTCGAACCCAGGACCTATCGGTGGATATTAATCAACATACGCTCAGTAGTGACTGGGTCCAAGAGGTATTTCCTGGAGCTCTAGTGAGATGCAATGACCAGTGGAGTTCAACTTGGTCCGTCGTGAGATAGTAAATCACTGATGAAAATGGTGGACGGTGGTTCGATTTCATGGATTGGTTGAAGTTAGACGTTAACACCGTTGGATGCCGGCTCAAAGGTCAGGAGGTTAAGCGTTTGCGCGCGAGACCGCCTGTCATGGGTTCGAATTATGTGTTAGTGATCGTAAATGAGCACTGCTGAAGTGTTGCATATTGGGACGAAACGGCCATTCATTGCTACCAGGTTTCCCATGGTGGTTTAGCTTCAATTCAATCGTGATCTCAACTATTAAAATTACTATAATATCCACAAAAACCCCTTATGAACTTTAATTAGACAGAATTACTCTTTAAAACAGCATGAGAAAACTAAATAATTCCATTAGACAATGTCGTCAGAAATTAACAAATTGAAGAGAAACCTAATGGAATATTTATTTTCAGATAAGAAGGACACTTGTGTTTTATGGATGACTGATACAGTATTTTATAGTATAAATATGTTTCTGATCATCTAAATAAGGATTACTGATCAGTGATTTCTTCCTACCCTTAGAACCCTAAGCTCTTCAAATTAATATTCTCATATGAGATCGAAGAGAATTGGCAAAGCAAGTACCGCATTGCTACATTTGAAGAACATATGGAACTCAAAACAACTGTCAACTAATTTCAAAGTGAGAATCTTCAATACGAACGTCAAGACAGACCTACTGTACGGAGCTGAAACGTGAAGAACTACTACATCCATCGTCAAGAAGGTACAAGTATTTATAAATAGTTGTCTTCTCAAAATACTCAACATTCATTAGCTGGATACCATCAACAACAGCCTGCTGTGTGGAGAGGAAAAACCAGCTTACAGCTGAAGAGGAAATTAGAAAAAGACGTTGGAAGTGGATAAGACATGCATTGAGGAAATCACCAAACTGAGTCATGAAACAAGCTCTAACTTGGAATCGTGAAGGGAAGGCCAAAAAACACATTGCACCGGGAAATAGAAGCAGATATGAAAAGGATGAATAACAAGTGGAAAGAACTGGAAAGGATTGCCCAGGACATGGTTGGATGGAGAATGCTGATGCGCGACCTATGCTCCTCCACAAGGGGTAACAGGGGTAAGTAAGTAAGTAATATGAGATCGAAGTCTGAATATTTAAGTCTTGTGATTAATTTAACATCTTTAAACTTCCTAGTTGTAGTCCGATGTTTAATTAGTTAGATAGGTAGTTTTACATTTTGGCTAATAGTGGAATAAAGGATTCGCATTTCATCCCATACAGAACTCATCAGTTGAGTGTATCATCAGTATTTATATTCTTATTGGGACTCAAATCTAGTACTTATCTTAATATGAACATTAGATTTGGAATCCTGGTAAATCAAAATGACAACCATCAAACAGTATGGATTCTACTATTAATGGGACCACTGATTCGCTAAAAGTGTGCAACTAATAGAATATATTCAGTCAATTTGTTCCGGATTTACATATGACAGTGATAAACAATCAAAATGCGTTTCTTAATATCAACCATATGATTTAGTATTTATTAGTATAGTCCCTTGATCAACACATATGTACGACCCCGAAATAAATATAAATACACACTTTCAATCAACTATTCATGACATGAAATTATAAACTACATGAACTCAAAAACAGTTTACATAATATACTAAGTTTAGCTAGATAACTGAAAACAAAAACTAGGAACTATACCATGGATGAGTCTTTTAAGTGTGAACCTTTAATCTATACTGCCTAGCCCATTCTCAATCCCTTTTTATAAAAATAAACTAAGTTAATTCACAATAAAGTTGACATTATGAGTCAACTGAAGCTAGACCACCATGTAAAACCTGGAAGCACTAAACGGCCGTTCCGTCCTATTGTGGGACTCCTCAGCAGTGGACATCTACAACCCCGCCTCGTGAGATTCCAACCCAGAACCTATCAGTCTCTCGCGCTCGAGCACTTAATCGATAGACAGCTGAGCCGGCATCCACAAAACCCCCTTCTGTTAATTCACTATATTTTTTAGTCAATTAATACATAATATAAATAGTTAAATTTGAAGGAAAAAAATCTTACCGATTATGTTCATCCAATGCATCATGATTTAATTGTTCATCTACCATTCTATCTTTTACAAATAAGTTAAAATTATAACCGGCTTAGTGCTAAACAATAAAATTACTCGATCTATTATTTATATACATACATATATACATACACATGTCAATTATAGAAAAAAGGCAAAAAAAAAACAACACAATAACAACTAATTATTGAATGGATAGTTGAATAGTTTGAGAACATAAATGTGTCGTACTTATTTGACTGTATATTTCTCAATCAATTATATGTTACATAGCAACTATATTTTACATATGAAAATCATAATACAATACAGTATATGTTCAAGTGGTGTTAACATTCTTCTCTTTTTTTTGGTTTTTTTCCATCAAACTAAAGAAGCCGGTGAAAATATGTATCTGATGTAGTGTTCCTTTTTTTTAGTTTTTTTTCTTCTTCTTGGACAGTTGTCATGAATGATACACTATTGAGTGACATGATATATGATTGACGCTTTGTTTGGATAATAATATAACTAAAATATTTATTCAAATACTTTTCATCATTTTAAAGGTTAATTGAATTTAATTCGAATAGTTCATAATATTAAAAATCTTTTTGTAAGGATGACTCGTTGGCAAACTCAATGAAGGCTCAAAAAATCAAAAAAGAGTCGAAGACATTCTATCCAATCACAGCTATAGGAATATTCTAGAATGCCGATGAGTAGCTTCCCTATTGGATGAATAAGGAGGACCCCACCCTTTGTGCCTATCGGCTGCCTGAAATAATGATTTGCTTTCAGCCAAAAACTATAAATAAATAAGAGTTTTGTACTATATTTGACACTGTTTTGGTAATAACATTCCTACTTACTAGTCTTGTATCTTCTCTCTTGCGACGTTGCGGGTTCGATGGAACAAGTAATCTAGTAGTACACGGTATAACAAGAATCTAAAGCTCTAGATATAACACTTTTATTATGTAAATTAGAACAGTAAACATAAGGGAACAATATTGATTTCAATTAGAACTTCCAAAGAATTCACTTCAATATACAATGATATTTATATAATGTATATAATCAAAATATTAAACCAAGTAAGGGAATATAGTTAATCAATGATAACTTAGGAATTAAAGTATAAATTGATAGTATGCTGACAAATTTAATAGTAGTTCAATAAATAATAAGCACTTTGATAAAACAAACCAATAATTCAATATGTAGTTTGGATAAGCATGTTTTAACATATTTCCTAATTATTCAATATTGTATAATGATATAATTAACTTTACTACTACATTGATGTGAGTTACTTATATTCACATAAGTAGTATATGGTGATGGTCAAGCACAGAATGTATTTTACTAGAAGATTAATATTGTAAAGAACCGGAATAGAACGCAATGGGCATGAAAATGTATGAACAATGAAATAAGTAAAGATGGACTGATATTTGTAGAAGAAACAGTCATGATTGAGACAATTGATTGTTATTTTGCAAATTGACTGTTTGCTGTAGGGTTGTCAGATTTTAGTGAGATAGTGTGTAATTTGTATTTGATTGTCCCAACCCTACTACTGTCAGTGATGTCAATTGTCTTTAAACTAGAGAAGAACCTCCAGGTATAATGAACGAAAACTCAGTTTGCAATGACCGAATGTACTTCACTACGAAATTACACAGTATCATGTTAAAATATAAGAATTATATGTTAAATGCTTCATTTGTGAATTTCTGTCATTTATCTTTCACATTCCATGTGATTCTTCAGATTCACAATTCCTTTCTAATTCCACTTCTGTTTTCTTCAAGTCGATCTTCATAGCTTTCTGCTACCAGGTTTTCTACTTTCAATTGATGTTACATACTACTAATGTCTGTCGACATAAGTAGCATACACTATATCGGTACATTAATAATCTCGTTAATTGTTAGCTATGTAACATATATATGAATAGCTATGTCTCAACTGTTGTGTTGATACTCAAATGTGTATGAAATTGTTTGGAAAAACTATTTGTGTACCAGAATATACATATTGATGAACAAATTTTCAGTTAATTCATTGTAACTAGCCAGTTGATTCCTTCAAAAAAACTTCAGATTATTACCGTTTGAAGGCAATTATAGCTTGCCACGTGAAAAAAAATTTCTGATGACAGTACACTTTATACAATAAATACTCAAACGGAGTTATCTTCACAGTGAAACCAACTTAATGGAAACGCGATTGTTCCATTTTTATTCAAAACATGAATCAATTCTGTCGGAAGTTGGGATCTTTCGTGCTTTACTAATGATACATGTACAAACGATATTCTTAGCTTCTCACTATCACTGATAATTCGGACAGTGGGTCGTCAGTTGCAACACACTAGAAAATATATACGTTTGTTGGATTCGTCAACGCAAACAGTTGACGGTTATGGTCTTTGATCATCCAACCAATATTTACGACACTCATTAAAAAGCATGGCCCTGATATAGAGATCTGTTTTCTTTATTAAATTATCTCAGAAAACCTTTCTCAACTATCTTGTGTGAACATTCGTCAAAATTTGAAAGAATCTTTACACAGAAATTGAGCATCATGCATATCGAAGTTATTCCATAAAAAAATTACAATGAGAAATAATCTCAACGACTGGAATGTAAACAATTAAAATGTTTGCTCTAGTCATCTGGTCCGCATTACTAATAGTAAAGGAAATAGTACCGATAAGGAAACAACAAAATAGTCCACATAAAAGTAATTTTAATGAATGCCATGAAGTATATTTGATGAAAACATTCAGATGACTAGATGTGAGAGTGAAAAAAAAACATAATCAACTAATCAAATATTTTTTTTAAATCTTTAGGGGATCTCAGGATGCTGAAGAATAGGTCAGCGATACTTACTTACTTACTTACTTTCGCTTGTTACTCCTAATGGAGCATAGGCCTCCGACCAGCTTTCTCCAACCCACTCTGTCCTGGGCTTCCTTTTCTAGTTCTATCCAGTTCTTGTTCATTCTTCTCATGTCTGTCTCTATTTCTCGGCGCAATGTGTCCTTTGATCTTCCTCTTCTCCTTCGACCTTCAGGATTCCATGTGAGGGCTTGTCTTGTGACGCAGTTGGGTGGCTTCCTCAAAGTGTGCCCAATCCACTTCCATCTCTTCTTCCTGATTTCTTCCTCCGCTGGAATCTGGTTTGTTGTCTCCCACAGTAACTTGTTGCTGATAGTGTCTGGCCATCTGATCCGAAGTATCTTGCGTAGACAGCTGTTAATAAACACTTGTATCTTCTTTATAATGGCTTTCGTAGTTCTGCACGTCTCCTCTCCATACAGTAGAACTGTCTTGACATTTGTATTGAAAATTCTAACCTTGGTGTTGGTTGCCAATTGTTTTGAGTTCCAGATGTTTTTCAGTTGTAGGTATGCTGCTCTTGCTTTGCCGATCCAGGTCAGCGATAGTATAGTATTAAATAAAAACAAATAATAAACTGGCTTTAACACAACTCAAATTGAATGATCTCAACTATATAAAATTACTAAAATCTCCACAAAACCCCTCTTCAGAACTCAAATTGTTTAGAATAATTTATTTGAATATAATACAAGTAATAATGATAGAAACACTGCATATATGAGCAAATCCTAACAAACTAAATACACTGTGTGGAATATAGTTAATAATATCAGTATCATTGTTGATTTATAAGTAGAAACTTAGTCATTGAAATTCACTCCCGTCTCTATCACCAGTAAGACAAAGTTTAATAATTTACCGATGTCCAATTAGTTAGCGAATCGTTATACTTGGAATTGTCTTCAATTATTTTTGATTCAAATTATACTATTCGCTAAAAATACCTACTTTGACGAGTTTAGTCTATATGAATATACGTCTAGTTTTAAGATATACTGAATGATTGATGTGACCGTAACTGTAGTCAAGAGCTTTATTTGTTCACTCAATACTGAATGAAAAGTATATACGAATACACATTCACATGTTCAATTTTTAACGCATTTCACATCACATGACAAACCTTTCCGAAACATTATAAGCACAGAAGGATGGTGGCTAGCTGTGGAATCCAGAAAGCGCATCTCGTATTATTTGAGACTCGTTTACTTGCATCTCAGAGTTAATGTCCTCTCCGGGATTTGAACCTAGTACCGTTTGCTTCAAACGCCATCGCTTTATTCACTTAGTTGAGTCCCGATAGCCACTTGCTTGTGCAATGGGATGAAGTTTAAATTCACTTAGTATTACATGTTTGAATCTTCCCATTGATGTTTAGGATTGCAATTGACCAGTCTCTTGTTATCACATGTGCATCCTGATAGCCACCATTCATCTCTGCTTATAATGTTAGTGAATTAGGGCAATATCGAGGCAATCCGCACAGGATGCACATATGCTAATAAGAGACCGATCAATCGCAGACCTAGACAACAATGGGAAGATAAAAGCAAACAACACAGAGTTAATTCTTGAAACATTTCTTTTAACTATATTTTTTTCATACTTATAAACTACATGTTTTCTTAATATCTATGTCGTTTACAAATGTACGGGTTACAATAATTATGTTAGTATAGGGGATTTGTGAGGATTGTAAAATTTTCTCAGTTTAAACCACAAAAAATACCTTATCTAGACCACTTTTAAAGACCTGACAACAATAAACGGCCATTCCGTTCTAGAATGGCAATCCTCGTTAGGTCGTATTCACAAACCTGCAAGCGTGAATTTAACCTACTTGGATGACAGCTCAAAGGTCTAATGGTCAAGAGTTCGTATGCTATATCAAAGGTCCTAAGTTCGATTCCCGTTTGCGGTGTCGTGGGTGAGCACTGCTCAGCAGTTCCATGTCAAGATAAAACGACGGTCCAATGCTTCTAGGTCTCCAATAGTGATCTAGTTACGGTCACTTCACGATTTAAACTGTGAAAATTATATATGTAGTCCGAAGTACAGTGAACTATTTACTTGCTAAACTTTGTAGCATTTATTCTTACAATCCAAACTGTTTTAACAATAATTCACCATAATCAAATGCAATTGGACTACTTATAATGACAAAGTGTGAGTACTAAATAATGTTACTCTAATATTGAAAATCCCAATATGAACTCTGAACCATTAAAAAAACATGATCGTCGTCATTCAGTTAAAACTCATGGCATATACAATAAATGTCTCCATAATATTTTTTTAACATAAAAAAACTATAGTGGTATAAATTGCAAAGAGAAGAGCACTCAGTTCATCTATTTTGTGTTTTATTGATTAAATGATTTATATGTGCATTTATTGATGAAGTCATTAACTTATTATTGATTAATATGACAAAAATAATATTTGTTTAAGCAAATAAACCACAATAGTGGTAAAAATCAACAAATTTCTTTTAATAGTTTAAGTCATGAGTCGCTCTAGGCAAGACTACTACCGGGAGCCTGGAATCATTGAACGACTGTTCAGCCCTAGTACAACACACCTTCAGCTGTGTGTATCCACAATCGAAGGTGCGTGATTCGAACCCCAGACGTCCAGTCTCGCTAACGAACACCTAAACTCTAGACCACTGAACTGGTATCCTACAGTGTTAATGTCTGACTTCAATCGATTCATGATATTGCACACAACTCCAACCATTATCTGAACGGCATACCTCTCTCCACTCAACACGGATTTCACTTCACTGTGAAGGTGTGTTACATGGTATCGAATGCATCAGCGAGCATCAGATCCCGCAAGATTTCAGATACACCTTTCTGACAAGTTCCAAACAGACCGAAACCTAGGTTCAGAGTTTCTTGTCTAAAGATATATATATTCAAAATAATCAATGGAATTGTGGAAAATCAATTAAAATGACTCTGAAGGAAAAAATCTTTATTACAGTTTTATGCAACACAGCATAATCTCTTCACATTAGTTCAAAAAGAAATAATCGGGAACACTATAGCTTGGCACTTATCCTAAACATTAAGAAATAAATCTATTTCAAGTTGCTATTTTTATTTAATCATGGATATCAGTAAGTCAAAAATAATAAATTTTATTCATTTTCTTATTTCAGTGGTCTTGAGTCCCAGTCGCATGAATGAGATCTCTGGTGCCCACTACTAAGGAGTACCATACTTGGACGAAACGGCTGTCCAGTACTTTCGAGTTGTCGAAGGTAGTCTAGATTAGATTTATTCATGAACTCAAATACTAAAATTACTACAGACTCCATAGATCCCCCTTTCTTCGATAATTTTGTTTTAGTAATGAAAATCGAAGACATAATAAATATTTAACATAATTTTTCACGTGATTGATATGTGACCAAAAACAGAAACATGAAAGTACATTTCGTCCTATTTGAGATTCATTAGTAGCGTCTACTCCTATTCCAGTGTTAATGAAATTTCGAGTTTATAATTTGTTATTATTAAAAAAGCCAATTTCTTTCTTTCTGAAACATTTTGTAATATAGACAAAGATGGATAGTGGCTAGTAGTGGAATACAGGATGCATGATTCGTCCTATTTGGGACTCGTCAGCTGGATGTACCTGCATCTGAGAGTTGATGTTCACTCTGTGACACGAACCCAGTAGCTTTTACTTCAAACGCCATCGCGTTATCCATTCAGTTACTGAGTCCTGATAGCCACTTGCTTGTGCAATGGGGTTTAGGACTGCAACTGGACAGTCTGTTATTGGTATATGTTCATATTGTGCATATTGCCTCGATATAGCCTTAATTGACAAGCATTATAAACAATTCATATATAAGTAATGTATATTAGAATAATACCCAACAGTTAACGAAAGCAAAACACATCTATATCATGAGAAAATAAACTTTAATTATGTAAAAAGGAACTCTTTAAATAACCAGATCCACCAAGTGTTCATTTCATACCATTACAAATCTTCATTCATTGTCAAATAAATTCAACTAATAACAAATACTTTTTTTCTTATATTAGTTTGTTTTAAATAAGTAGTCAAAGTATAATCATATTTTGATCATGATCCAGTTATTAATAACATGTATTTGATAGTTGATCGGATCCAGATACAGTTTACAATATTGAACATTTACTTTCTGGTATTTTGATGAATTCATCTCCTGCAATAAAAATGATAATTAACACTTTGAAGTGATAATTTAATTATCAGAAGGGGTATTTGTGGAGATTTAGTATATTTCATAGATGAAAGCGTAAGTCAATTGAAGCTAGACCACCATGGAAAACCTGGAAACACTGGACGGCCATTTCGTCCTGAGGAGTTCCATAATAGGACGAAACGGTCGTCCAGTGTTTTCAGGTTTTCCATGGTGGTCTAGCTTCAATTGACTTACGCTTTCAACTATGATAATTTAATATAAATACACATATGTTTACGATCTAGTAACCAAATCATTATGATATTTATTTTGTTACTGGGGGATAATAAATAATTCCTTGCTATCAATTTCAGTCTATGAAAATTGAATAAAACAAAATAGATCGTCTAATGCAATTTGTCTTTCTTCTAACCAGATAGATTATGCATTTCAATAACGCTTTACTAACTGAATCAAGCAATAGATCATTTAATGATGGTGCGGTGAGATATTTTGAGATATTTTAAGGGATGTCCGTTACCTATTAGATTGTATTCATTTAAGTTCCTAAAAGATATCATTTCCCCTCCTATTATATATGCCCTCTATTTTCGCAAACTTTAAAAACTTAAAAAGAAGCCTGTTTTACTTATTACCGACGATTTAAATACGGCTCCTATAAATCCAAATGACTTGTTTTCTGTTAGCTTCTTCATGGTAAAAGACAAAATGATACAATTGAATTATTGTTTAGTGACCTTATCATGGCAACTAGAAACATCTTATTCAGCTTCGCCGACTAACAACAAACATACACCCGTAACATTCAAATTTACAGATCCTGACATGATGTGCGATTATGCTAAATTTTCACCAAATCAACGAAAGGTTATTCAATGGCTGTGTAGAAAAATGACACGTTCAAAATTTTTCGGTGTTCTTTATATCTTGACTGACACCATAGTGATCACGAAGCTATTTTTTTTACTAGACAACGTAAACTAAGAATTGTCTCAAACATAGGTTTAATGGAGTTTGTTAAATACCATTAGTTGTAGGTGAATAAGATCCAGATAGGATGAGACATTTTGCATTGTCGAGATCAGTAACTTGTTAAGGAGTCAACTAATTTTTGACAGTAACTTTTAATAGATTTTTCTTTTGTACAGATAAGGGTTAAAACAAAAAAGAATTTATGGTTCCATACCGCACCTCTCGCTTAAAAAACTCTCTGGTTTTACTGATGTTTCTTCACTATCATGTGAAACTAAACACGAATTTCGTAACAACTCGTACGTTATACATTACAAAATGATTTCACTAATGAATATAAATTATTGTCATTATTTTGGCTCACTTGGTGGAGCAGTTATCTTTGGTTTCGGTACATTATCTTCATAAAGATCAATTATATTTCCGGCTGGTTTATAACGTCCCACGACGTACACTTTCTTTCCATCTTTGGATAATGCAGAACCGAATCCTGCTTTAATAGTTGACTTCCAAATTACTTGAGTAAAATGTCCTAACCTCAGATCAAAATAAAACAAGAATGAATTAATATTCAAAATGCTTTATAACCCCTTTTTCGATGATAGTTGAAGTAAGTTATACTGTAGTGAACGAGAACACACGTGGGAACAATTATATGTATTCGAATACATCATTAAAGAGTTATGTGGTAAAATGTGAATACCATACGTTCAATACATATTTGCGAAATGTCCATTACTTGTCACAGACTTTTTCATTCCTTCATTTCCAAACCAATCACTATTTGTTCCCGTTCTTTTCTAATCGATCTTCTCAATCTTCAGCTGCCAGGCATTTCATTTTTCATTGACGATACATACTACTTATATCTATCGACGTAAGTAGCACACACCATAATACAATCTATATTTATTCATTATCTAGTTTCTAACTCATTTATCTATCAAACTATATATGATTGCTGATATTTAATGAGGGGTAATAGTGATGGTTATCGAGTCAATCATTTACTGTTATTGTCATAAGATGTTTGTAGAGATTATGATTTGTACTACAGAGTAATTTTAGTTAATGAATTGATGAAAACAACAGTTATCTAATCCCACCAGAAGATTAATCAACAGTGATGGTTTTGAGAAGATGTTTTTTTTTCATTGAATAACAAAATGCTGGAATACTAAAAGATTTATGAATCAAGCATAGGATGTCGGGTATACATTTCTCAATAGCTCCAAACATAAATGAAACAATACCTTGTTCCTAAAAAATTTCCAATCAGAATAATTCTGTGTAAGCAGCTAAATTAATTACAGTAATACCATTCACTCATTATGAGTTCTTATAATCTCTCTAGTCAACTATGGCATATATGTGACTGGAACGATTCCAAGAAAGAGTTTGCACCAAAGAAGAAACTAGTTGTTGGAACATATTATGTCATCATGAACTAAATATACACTTCCTATTTCCATTCACAACTATCCAGCATTGTTAGCAATTGATCTTAGTCAGTAAGTGTTGAGAATGTTAAATCCCCAGAACTTACTTGGTAAATGGCCTAATTTTGTAATTTTATTTTAAAAATTTGAATTTCTTTTTTTTTCGCTTCAAAAGCGATCTTTTCACCTTCGAGTCTAATTTCCCACTTGTAAAATATCTTAAACGCTATTGGTCCGTTATATCTTTGAGTGTGCTATTTTGTAATGCTGCCCAAGGACAATTTATTACTGCGTATATACGTTTAATTTTTTTCCCTTACGATTGCTGTGCTTCTGGCTGCTACGGAATATATTTTCCCCGCTCCAATTTGGACTCCTTACTCTAGTTATCTGGATCTGGGACGAGTCAGAATAGCTAGCTTATCGGTCTCTAGTCACAAGTCTTTGTTCTGTTCGCTAACTAGTGAATTCGAAACACTTCAGATATAACAGTAAGCTAGCCAAAAAGTAGTAAGTTTCATTCAGATATCAATACGAGAATACAAATCTACGAAAATCTTTACTTTTGAAATTAGATTGTTTAAATTGTTTAAATGTGATCAAATCATTGTTTGAGAGCTCCGGTTGTTAAATGAATAATTAACATGATAGAATAAAACTAGACTGAAGCTGAATTTAAAAATCATCCGAACTAAGTGCTGACAAAATTCAATATGGTGTACTTTATTATGTAATTTTTAAAAAATTTCAAATATTTTCAGTCTGTAGTGTTTGTTTAACCAACCACTTATCTATATACTTTGCTATACTTTAATATCCTTCCTTTTGTTTACATATTCATGTAGTCTTATGTTTATCTAGTCTATTTCAAAGTACGTTATTTCTAGAACAAGTTTGTTTTTAGATAATATAAATCATATAAGATAACTATTTTTAGTAATAAACTACTTATTGAATTCCCTAAAAATCTAATTTCATATTAAACCATGGTGAAGTTTGAATGCAATGTTACTAAATAAAGTAAGAAACATCAATTCTGAGATGCAGGTACATCCAGCTGACGAGTGCCAAATATGACGAAACGTGAGTCAAACTAGATTCCACTGCAAGCCACTATCTATCTTTGCTTATAATGCTTGTGAATTAAGGCTATATCTATGCAATACGCACAGTATGCACATACGCTAATTAAAGATTGACCAGTTGCAGTCCTAAACATCAATAGGAAGATCCAAACAAACAATACTAATTGAATATAAATTATCTTTATTTTAGGTTTATTTCACCAAGACACTGGAGATATTCTGTAGTAACTAGACGCTTATATCCACTGACATCATAATGTTCCATCTCTAAATTGAATAGATAGTCATGAGTAACCAGTGAAAAGGTATATATTCTCACTTAAACATGTAAGAATTTACATGTTGAAAAATATGTGGCACATTGAAAATCCATTGTAAACAATATTTTTGTTCAGATGAATCACAGTGTCTTTGTTTTCATGCAAGCATTCTTGGTCGTTTTTCCTTCAGTAGGCTTGATATATTTAAACGTAATTCTCAAACCATAATTTTCACTATATACTTTTCTTCCGTTATCCTAAGGTGACCCACAGTGAACAAAGTTCATAACAAAGAGTTGAGGATAACTCCATATTTCTTTTGTGTTATACGTTATACTACTTATCATTATTAAGTAGTACAAATTAACTTATCAACATGAATTGAACACAGCTGTCAACTTATAACGAACATAGAACTATTTTTTTCTTTTTACTTTGATCATATTACCTTAAACATTTCTGCATTACTTTTGAAAACTCTGTGACATTTTTCTTTTCTCTTTTATGATTGTAACAAATCAAAACTCTACGTATGTTTTGGCAGTAGAGTTTGACAATTAATGAATTTTTGAATGAAGTAAAGTATCATTCTTAAAGAATCAAGTAGTTTAAACTGGTTACAAATAAAGAGTTTCAATCGTTAAGGCGAAAAAAACTATTGCTTTCACGAAACCGAGATACACATGATAACTTGTGGTTGTATAGAAGTGAATAAATGAATAAAGGCAGTACCAAGACGATCCACATAGATTGTACAGATGATGAAACATTGATCAATTGCAGTACCAGAAATCGGTAGGAAGATTCAAATAACAAACACAAATGAGATAAAATTCACTTAATTGGAGTTAAATAAACTTAGTAGAAAAATGAACAAGGCGATGACATAGCTATCGGTACTGAGATTGAATCAAGGTACATTCAGTCAATAAATCACTAATGGGACAAAAATCGCATTCCACTACTAGCTACCATCAATCAATAAATGAATTTAAGAGATAAAAACAAATTTAAAATGGATTATTCTTTTTTTAGTTGTCTCTTACCTGTCCCAGGTTGATTTTGTCCATTAAAATCATGTTGATTAATTTCATCGTACCAATTTCGAGTTGCTTCACGACCTTTCACAGGGCATATAAAAAAATATGCTTTTTATGTATACAATAATGCCATCTATTTGTAAGAGAACTATTCTTTATCATAATACTTATTTAGAAAATGAGTATTTAGACGAATGATTCTGTAACAGTGTACTAGTATATACTAGTTGATCTGAAATATCCAATATCCTATAACGCAGAACATAAAGCTTGTTAGGCCCTGTCTAGGATTAGTTATATTAAAGTGATCGAGATGTACGTACCAAACCACATAATTAGAAGAACAGTGGGATGTGAAAATATTCACATATTCGAGCACGTTTTGATGAATTTGAGATTGCAAGATGTGAAAGCCTAAAATATCTCAATAACTTGGCATTTAATCAATACCGAGCATATTGATGACATCTGCCAATCATTCATAATCACAATCATACAAAAAGGATGCATTTTCTTGATGCGTTACCGAAAAATTGTGATTGAAATACACCAAACCAGATTTATGCTTTTAAAAGGAGATAGTCATCAATTTATAACTGACTTGATAAATTCACAATTTCAAATACAACCATCCTCATTATTATTACTATTATTATTGTTATGATTATTATTGTGTATATATGTACAGCATTCTTCGTTGAGCCGATTCTTAGTGCGCATCCACTCCAGTTATCTTTTCATTCATTCATGATTTCAATTTATTCAACTCTACGGACCTATGTGAACTCAGGGACTGTTACATAATTCACTTTTGCAAATATCGATTTCAAGATAATTACTAACTCGTCGTGCCCCCTTCCTATGTGTGTTTTGATTTCCATCTCCAAATAACGATGCATATAGATACTGATAGCCATAGCCATTTCACTTTTTTAAATTTGTATTCTCTATTATGTCATAATGTGTTATGTTTCAATATAAATTCGATTGTAAGCAGTTGAAGAGAAATCACGAAATAAAAATTATTAGAAAGGGGGTTTTGTGTAGATTTTAGTAATTTTATGTAGTTGAAATCATTATTCAATTGTAGCTAGATCATCATAGAAAACCTGGAAGCATTGTTTCAAGGCCGTTTCGTCCTATTGTGAGACTCCTTAGTAGTGCGGATCCATGACCTCGCCTCGCGAGATCCGAAAGCAGCATCTTACAGTCTCGCACGTGTGCGCTTAACACTAGACCACTAAACCGACATCCAACGTTGTTAATATCTAACTTCAACCAATCCACGAAATTGAGCAATCATTCACCATTTTCTTCAGTGAGTTACTATCTCTCAACTGACCTGGTTGAACTCCACTGTTTACTGCTTCTCACTAGAACTCTAGGAAATAACCTCATGGAGCCAGTCACTAGTGTGCATACGATCATTATTAGAAGGGGGTTTTGTGGAGATTTTAGTTATTTTTTTTATAGTTGAAATCATGAGTCAATTGAAGCTAGACCACCATTGGTTCGAATCTCGTGGAACGGGATCGTGGATGCGCATTGCTGAGGATTCTCACAATAGGACGAAACGACTGTTGTAGAAAACAATCATTATGTCATTATTCTAAACAATCATAAGTACAGATACACAGTAGCAAGGATATCATTTTAATCTGTAGGTTTTTCTAATAAGATAATTCAAATATCTTAAAGATATCCAAATAAACATAAGTATTCTACTTACCATTCAATGATGCACCGGCTGTAGACATTTGAAATGCTAAATTTTCACCATAATCATCTCCTTTACTATGTTGTAAACAATTTATTGAAGCCAAATGTTCAGCCCACTTTTGAGAATCACTAGCCAGTTTTGAATCATAACTTATTTTTGGACAACCATGTAATACTCTAAGTCTGAAATAAGAAACATTCTATGTATATGATGGAGTATGACAAAATCTCTTTACTTCTTAAACGAAACGCAATCAGTAATTTTAGAAATATTTAGAATATTGTGAAGAATAAGTGACATCGTTGAGATAGTTATTGTATAGAGTGTTATTATGAACTGAAAATAGTGGTATTGTTGCGGAAGAACACTTAGGTGAGGATAACTAAATTTGCTATTTAAAGCCAAATTACAAAGTGATTTTGTAAAATTTGAAAACCAAATATTTAACATCTGATTTGCAGATCCACTAGTTATCTTTTACATGCTTCATGATTCTTTCAATTCTGTCGTTATTACAATCAATTTCTGTTTCCCTTTCAGTCCCCCTCCCAATTCAAACTTCTCAACCTTCTTTTGACAGGCATTCCATATCTGATTTGTGTTACATACTACTTATATCTGTTAACATAAATAATATGCACCACAGCATGAAAATTGTTACAAGAAATCCAATTGTAGAAACCGACTCTAGCTAGCTAAACTGCTGAAAGTAATATTCAACAAATAAATTATCAGAAGAGGGTTTTGTGGAGATTTTAGTAATTTTATGTAGTTGAAATCATAAGTCAATTGAAGCTAGACCACCATGGAAAAGCTGGAAGCATTGGACGGCCGTTTCGTTCTATTGTGGGACTTCTAAGCAGTGTGCATCCACGATCCCACCTCACGAGATTCAAACACAAGACCCACCAGTCTCGCGTGCGAGCGCTTATCCACCAGGTCACTGAGCTGGCCGGCATCCAACGGTCAAAATGTCCAACTTTTCCACGGTGAATTAGTTTCAATGAACCCATGATTTCAACTATATAAAAACAAAGAAATGTCAAGTAGAAGATAATTTAAGCGGTAGGAATAATTCAGTAATTGAATATAAAGCTGTTTAAACATATTTAACTTTGATTTGAACAACCATATCTTTACAAATTTCAAACCTCCTCGAAATAAATTTACTAAGTGTCTGTTTGGAAAAAATGATCAGAGTTATATCGTCATTGTGATTTATTCACTGAAATAGCTAAGTAAACTAATTTAGTTGCTTTCATCTGATGTCATCAGTTCATCTATAAATGGATATATAAAGAGAAATTTATATAGCGCCTATTATTTATGCCTTCAAAACTATGTTTTCTTACACATTTTTCTTCATGGTTAAGCAATAATCATTAGTTAATCAAGATGAAGATGTATTCAACATTCACCATGAAAAGGAGATCCAAATCTGCAAAACATATTTGAGTAAAGTTATTCCAATAGCATTCGAATCTTTACTTTGTTCAAACTATGAGTTTTAATAAACAAGGTGAATATTCATAACTCCAGCTGTATCTCTTCCGGGGGCTGCTGCCTGTCCCAAGACCGGGTAAAAGTGGAGGATTCTTATAAGTGTGTATATTTTTTTTTCAACATTCTTTTTCATCTGTGCCAAAATATTTTTTTATTGGGTAACTTTGATTTGATATTACTAAGATCTCTATATTTTCAACCAACCATATTTTTAATACAATTCAACATATTTCATTAAACTGGTTTATAATTAACAGTTTCTTAATCATAACCAGGTAAGATATGATAGAGAGTTATAACGAGGACATTTGCAATTCATAAGACCTATGGAACTATACAATCGTTAGGAATAATTCAAAGGATTCTATTTGACAGTCTTTGATATTTTAAGATATGAGCCACAAATACTTTAGTCTCATAGTCAGTTCCTTATCCTCATTTATGGTTTAAGTGAACATTTGGAAAGGTTATAATCTCTAATGATGAGTGTATATATTATACAGTAATTTATATTTTAATTGATTGGAACCTGTGAACCAATGTTCCATGCTATCTAAGAATAAGACAGATTAAATCTTTAAGATACTGAATCTTCCTAAGAAATAAAAACCCTAATCACCAACTATCAAACAGATAATTTACTACTTAGCTGTTCAGGTTGTGATTAGCCTCTTGTATTACTCAGAAATCTATCCACGTTTACAACTAAGTTGTTACAAGTTTTAGGTTTCTCAGCGTAGCATCTCTGACTGTGCTATTTTTTGATGTGAGTATAAATCCAAAAGAGAGAATCACCTCCATTGAGATTGTAGATATACCTTAGTAGTCAAGGTCCTTGATCCAGGACTCTCAAACGTTTGCTTCCCTCCATTTGACATAATGTCTAACTCTTGAACCGATGACGACATTACAACTAAACCAATCAAATTTGATCAGACTTGTGGGATTGCCAAGTGTGACATTATGAATCAAACAGTAATCAATCGTGCATTTGGAGTGAAGTCCAGTTGAAACTTTAAAAACAAGTTTAACAATTAAGAACTGTCATGAATATAACTGCAAAAGTTACCTTGCATCTATTTGTAAATATTTACTCTTTACACAAGCTACTTAAAAAATTAGAAAGTAGCTACTTAAATTCGGCTAAAAAAACACACGGTTAACGTTAATCATTTGAAAATATTCCTTCAACTTAGATGAATCAGTTCAAATACGATAATATAGTGACAAACACAACAAATTTGCATTTTCTTAAAACATCTTATGGATAATTGACACGAAAGACCTGCAAACAAATCTTGTAGTCTACATTTCAATGAAAGTATCTTCAGGCAAAGTAAAGTATTTAAGTCATTTTACACTGTAGCTAACAGTCTTTCTCAAACTACTAACTTATGTAAAATCTTACTATTCTTAAAAGATGGATCAAAAAGTCTATTTCTCAATATTCACATCTACTAGACATCTGATATACTATGGCGCTTTCCCTGCAACTTACGTAGATTTATATTATTCAATTGATTTATGACAAGAAAACTCATACAGAAAATGGTAAACGTTCATTGACTTCATCCGCTTTATTCAGCTACCGTTTGGGGGCTTTTCGTGATGTTAATGGTATGAGCACCACAAAAAAATAGACTAACATTGAAATGACTAAATTTGTTTACTTTTCAACGGCTTTTACTCGATCTTTTCTACGAATAACCCTTTGACCGTATCTGTACCTTCGTGCGGCAGTCAGGTACAACAAATACGACATTGGTTGAAACATTTGTTCTTAGATGTTCTTTCGTGTCAGGCAGGTTGACTGAATATTGTTAAAACCGAAAGCACTAAACGGAAAGTTTGACTGACATCTTGCTGTCAAATGATTTTCAGAATGATGACAGAAAGGTTTTTATCTAAAGATAATCAACCTTTCCAACTCTGCTTCCTTTTCTCAAGAGGAGAGTAAAGTTATAAAAGTCTATGCCTAGATCAAACACATTTCATTTTGTGGTATGGACCTGTATTTTTGAAGGTAAGACCTAGAAATTGCGAAATTAATAGATCTAAAATCAATTACATAGATGCCCTATGTGACATTTGTAAATAGTTGTCTCTCAGAATCTGTGGTCATCATGATAATCACTAATCCAGTCTACTTTTCATGTACTTCAACAAAATCGCTGACCTATGGGATGTGGAACAGGGGGAAGATACCAATCTATATACCACTGAAGGACTGAATTATTAATTATCATGACTCTCTTTTGTCTAGTCAAGATTACATACGAAATTAAGGTGTTTTTTTTCATAATCTGAAGAAATTAAGTCAAAGTATTTAATTCGTTTGAATGATCTCCAGAAAGCATGTTTAAAGATAATCAAATTTATATTCATTACCCGAATTCTGTTGCCTTACAATAAATATTCAGGAATATTCTGGAAAAATTGAAAACAAGTAACTCATGGGTCTTTATAAAATAAGTAGAAATATACTTTAAGGGGTACCAGTTAGACAGAAAGTTATCGATTATTAACAATACTATTACATGTACCGAATAATATATAGATATATGCAAATGAATCAATTTAAATTTTTTAGTTTAGTAATGAGAACCTTAGATATTTTAGTTTAACATACAATGTATTTTTGGACTTTTTACCACTTTACATGTAAGTCTGCATAGGAATCGAACTTAGAAAACATGGAACTTTTAGACTACTGATGTATCCATTAGTTCAGTAGTTCCTCAAACTATATCGTTTCATAGTGAAATTCATCGTAATTTTGAATATTATCTTTACTAAGTAATATGTAAGCTGACTTTTGTATCCAATAGTCCTTAATTCCATGATCATACTTGATTACATGTGTGGTGTGTGCTACTGATGTCGACAGATATAAGTAGTATGTATCATCAGTGGAAAGTAAAATTCCTGGTGGCAGAAGGTTAAGAAGATCAAAGAAAAGAGAACGAGAACAAAGAATGATTGGTGTGGAAACGAAGGAACAGTCAAGTTTGAGATAATTGATTGACAATTTACAAATGAAGTATTTACTGTATGATTCTCAGATTTTACCAAGATATTCTGTAATTTTGTATTGCGATACATTCGGTTATTCCTTACTTGTATTCTCGTTCAGTATACATGTACTCTAGGATGTGTTGTGGATTGAATATATTAACCGATGATAGTGCATGATAAGCTATTCATATTACTATGATAACATAATTATTAGCTTAAAAATTAACCAGATTTTTTTGAGGCATTTATTGTTTATATGCTACTATTAGAATATGTACTGATTGATTATTTATTTTGATATGCTTGATGCTATTATGAGTTCACCCTACTCGGTGAACAGAACGAAGGTCGAAGACACAGTGACACGATAGATTAATTCTAATCCGCTGTCATCAGCATTACTAACTAGATCAAGAAATCTTGATGAGTCATACAGAATGTATTCTACTAGCACTCAGAAAAGACGAGGTCATTAAGCACACAAATCAAGCTTATTTATACAATAATAGAAACGCCCTTGGAAGAGCCACATAATAGCATACTAAAGAAATTCCATCAACCAATGTTAGTCAAGGATTTCCAAGTGGGAAATTGAAGCCATAGGTCAACTTAGCGTCATATTTTCAGAATAAAATTACAAAATTAAAACCTTTTCCAAATAAGC